GTTCATAAATTGCAAATTTTCTACCAGTTAAATTACTTTCTTTCACATTTTTTGAGAACTATTTTTTGGGGGGGAGGAAGAGTGGAACTGGGGATTGAGCCCAGGGGTGCTCTACTACTGAGCTATATTCCCAGTCCTTTTTTATTTTGAGACAGGTCTTGCTAACTTGATGAGGCTGGCCTTTAACTTGGGATCCTCCTGCCTCAATCTCTCAAGTGGCTGGGATTACAGGAGTGCACCATCACCATCACTTCAACCATTTTTAAAAATTGAGTTCAAGATTATCAACATTTTACTTCATGGTTCATTATCTCCATGCCTGGTTTAAGATATTTCCCTAGCTGGGCATGGTGGCGAACACCTGTAATCTCAGCAAATCAGGAGACTGAGGTAGGAGGATCTCAAAATTTGATGCCAGCTTCAGCAACTTAGTGAGATCATAAGCAATTGAGACCCTGTCTCAAAATGAAAAATAAAAAGGGCTGAGGATGTTGCTTAGTGGTTAAGCACCCCTATGTTCAATCCCCTGTAACCAAAATTAAAAAAAAAGGAAATAAAAGAAAGAAAACCTTCTATAATTTGATTTTATATTTTCCTAGAGATTAGCTACAGAAAAGGTAAAGGTAGGTCATATTATGAATGGATGCTTAGCTTTATAAGAAACTGTTTGGTGTAGACTCTGAGAAGTCTACTCAGTTCAAGGTCACAAAATTGTCTCCTGTGTACACTTTAAATATGTGCAGCTTATTTTGTGTCACTATCAGACTGATAAAGCTGTTAAAAAATTAGAAATAATAGGTGTTTGACAGAAAAGTATTCAAGTGATTTTAGTTTGCCATCTTTGAAAATTAGCAGAGAAAAATTAGAATTTTAAGTATTTATTAAGGGTTTGAGTATATTGAAATACTAACTTAATTTTGTGAAGATTTAAAAAAAGTAAGAGTGTTTGAAGAGGGACACAAACACATACACACATACACAGGGTTCTGTGGTGAGACCCAAGATCAAATCCTGGTTCTACCATTGCCTTCCTGTGTTCTTAGATATGTCAACTAACTTCTCTGAGTCTTGGTTTTCTACAAACTAGGAATGGTAACCACATATCATAAATCTGTAATGATTAAGCAAATAACATGTACAAAAAAGCTTCTAGAGAGCCTTACCTGACACAGAAACTCAAGGATTATTAGTTTCCCTTTCTATCCTATGTAGCTAGACCTCCCAAAGGATGGCTCTTTAACATACACACACTGCATACGGTTGAAGGGACCTATGACACAACACAGCTCCAGGGACGAGGTGTGCTGCAAGATATCCCTGAACTCCAAGAGGCAGGTTCTGTGAGAAGTTCAATGCAAAGCTGGCCTGGGCCATGGGTTGTTCAGAGCAAAGTCATTTTTATTGTAATGAAAATTTAAAAGGCAATTACATTAGTTATACATATACACAACCAACTTAATAACTGTTAGTCATAGAGAACATTCAAGAAATACAAATGATTTACCCACAGCACAGTTCACATCCATAAGAAGAAAGGTTAAAGGAGAGATGATTAAGTGCTTAATGTCCACTGAAGCCTGCTTGTGGAATCTTGTTTTTAGGAAATAGATTGTTAGAAATGAGCCACCCATTTCTGCGCAGTCTTGAAAACCCCATTTTTTTTTTTTTTGTCAGTGCCCCACAGACTTTGGCTGATTGATTGGCCATAAAACCAGCTCTGGCCACAAGGCCCAGGCACACACCTACATGTGACAATGTGCCTGCACCCTCAAGTAAGGCTCTTCAAGCTTCTCAGGGTCCAGGCAGTAGAGGAGGAAGTGGACAGCAAGGTGGCTCATGGCTCCTCAGTGCACAGGATTCACTAGCAACAGGTAGTAGCATAGTAAGTTAGGACACAGCAACTTAATGACCAAACACCTTTCTGATAATACAAAGGGATTTTCTAGTCTGACTTGTCACCGCTAGAGCTGTTGGGTAACAGGCTTGCTCTTGTTTATGGGGCAGGTCATGACTGTTAAGGAGCAGGTGGCCTAGACAGGTGAATGATCTCTGTTTTCACAGAGCTCATTAGTTGGGTAAAACACTGCAGTCAGGGAAAGAGCAACTAATTTTCCTGGGGTCTGCCTCATCTCTTGGTTAAACCAACTAATTAGGTGCACCAATACCTGTAATCTGGGGAACACACAGTTGCTTCATTGACACAGAACATTTAATCTCCCTGGTGTAAATTCCATTAACTTTCATAATCTCTCCATCTCTGCTATTTGCAACACTGACTATTCCTGAAATTAAAAAAAGGTTGAATTAGATGTGTTAGAAAGTAGAGAAGGTGGCTGTTTGTAATGGCTCTCTTGCTCCCTGAAACCAACACTAAAAGCAAAGCTAGGAAGGAGTGACACTCAGGCAGAATATTCTAGAACCATTCTTGGCCACTCCCATAAGTCACCTGTGCAGTCTTGGTGGAGTCTCAGTAAAGCTGCATTTGTGCCCTTGCAGCAGCTTAGGAGGTCACTACATGGCCCCCTTCTATGGAAAACCTATTGCTTGCTTAGCTAAGGAAAGTAAGTGGAAAGGCTAGCAGCAAATCTGCTGAGAAGGGAAGTATGGTTCTATCCAATCGTGATGCTCCCTGTTCACCTAATAGGACTAAAAACTGAGTTGGCAGTCCCCTAAATTCTTAGTCAAGGGAGAAAAATAGAAGCAAGGTCACCTGGAGGAAGGGTCCTTTTATTTCTTCAATGTCCCCTCAGTGCCAAGAAACAGTCATGGCCAAGGTGTTCACCTCTGGTGGGCACCTGAGAAAAGTCCCTGACTTCCCTCCAAAAAACAGAAGGCAAAAGAAAACACAAGATCCCTAAACTCCTAAAGTCACAAGCCAAAGGCCACATGAAGTCTATTTTTCATGCCATTGAGAAACATTTTGCTTCAAAAGCTATTTTTGTGTCTTTTTTTGGAGACAATCATGCCCACTGCCAGGGCAAGCTTGATGTTGTTAGGGCAGAGGGGGATAGCAGGTAGGTAGCACAGAGGGACAACTGTTCTGGGCTGGTCCTGTTAGGGCTCTCTGAGTGTCAGGCACCTCTTATTTCCCCAGCTGCAGGGAAGCCTCTGGGTTGGAGCCAGCTCCTCATGCACCTACATTCAGGACCACTCACCATCAACTACAAAAGGGAAAGAGCTGCTGTAGAAACCATAAAATCAGGGCTCCATCAGTCTTGAAACCAAGGCTGGTTACTGGTAAAGGGCATTCTACTGGGTTATACTGGGCTTTCCAGGTGAAGTTCAGTAGAAACACAGGGCACATGGATCTCCCTGGATGCCAGACAGGCTGCTGTATAAAACAGGATCTTCAAAGTACCAGAGCAATTCTCCCCTTGGCTCCTTCCTGCACACTGGGTTTACTCTGCTCTCAGGCAGCCTAGAACCAACACCAGAATCAATGGGTAGGGACACTTGGGTTGTTTCTGAGCATTTGTAAAACTAAGCAGTACCTGTGAGAGGTTCCTAAGGGGCTACAGGAGAGACTCCAGGGCTTTCTCACAAGGTGGGTCCCTGCATCTGCAGCCTTGTGTGACTTCTCTCTCACGTAGGCATCAGTGGGCTGATGGATGGGGATTAGAAAAGATGGATAGGAAAAGAAGAAAATGAGGGAAACTAAGGGAGTCCTTGTCCATGTAAAGGGTAGGGGAGGAAGTAGAGGAACGTGAAAGTGGGAGGATGGGGTCCTAAACTCATCTTCTCAAATCTGAGTAAAACACAGTAAGCCAGGGACTCTGGGTTAAGGGGTTACCCAAGTAGAAACTTCTAGAAGTCAGATCATATTCTTGTCTTGAGACAATCAGAGGAATTCAGGACGTGTGGACATGTGGCAGAATCAGAGTTGGAACCAGAACCAGAGTCTGAGTCTTCTGCCTCACAGATCTGTATCATGTCTATCCCAAAGTACTTCTGTACCTGCTGCCAAGCAGAGGACAGAGGCTCAGGTGGCCAGGAGGAAAGTGGTCCAGAGTGCATTTCTCCACACAAAGGGGGGTGGTGGTCCCAAGCCTCCTCCAGGTCACTGAGCAGAATGTGGCATGAGACCTGAGGAGGCTGGGCATCTTGCCCCTGCCATCCACACCTGTATGCCTTTGTGACCTCAAGGTGTGCTTCCCTGCAGTTTTTGGGTGGGGACAAGCTCCCTCTCCCAATGGAGTCGGGCTGGAGACAGCTACATGGAATTAGAAGCACGTGTTCAGGACAAGTAGGAAGGACAAGCACTCCTATGAGGCTCTGAAAGGAGGACAGGGGCTAGTTCCTCTAGGAAGGGCTTGGATCTGCAGTAGGTAGGTGGACCAAGAACTGACCTATTAAGGTAAGCAGGTCCCCAGCCCTGGCTCCTGGTGACACTACTGAAGAGCTAGCCTGCTGAGTCCTGCTGGTCAGGCCAGCTCCTAGGCCCCAGGATGATCATCTTCCCATCAGGATGCTCCTGAGCTTGGAGACTGGGGCCACTCACTTCAGTTCTCATGCTTACTATAGACTTTGGATTCTATACACTCACCCTGGCCACACATGACAGACACGAGGCACGACACATTCATTAGGACAGAAAGTTCATGTCTCACTGCACAAAGTAAATATGTCCCACAGCACAATGGGCACATAGACAGATTAGCAGAGCTGAAGGGCATCCACCTCTGCATCCTTGTGCCACTTGGCTCCAGTGCATGGAACAAAGGCTCTGCATCCTGCTGGCCTCTTCTTCCAACCCCCCGCCCCCCAAGTCCCACCCAGTCAGCAGTAGTGAAAAGCAAGACATAATGTGATTCAGCACCCCCAGCAGGTGTGATGGTGTGCTAGTCGCTCTAGGCATTGACTGAACTTTTTATGTGTGTAAATTATCTATTAAGAGACTATTCACAACTGAATTTAAGGACCCAATAGGCTCACTTTCTAAGCACACACAGATAAAATACAATAAATACAATGGGTTCCCTAACATCTAAAAGCAGGGCCCCTGGTCCGTGGCCGAGAAGCCATGGCTGTGGATTAGAGCTGAGCGATGCTGTGCCTAGGGTATGTGGGGGTGGGGTGCTTTTGGTGAGGGGTCCTGCATCAGGGCAAGCCAGGCTAGGGGGGTCCCATTCACATGGGCATTGGTGTCACGGCGTGGGTCGCACTCTACAGTGGGAGCCTCGCTCTGCCCGCAGTTACTCAGAAAATGGTGGGAACATGCCCAGGTCAGCAAAGTCTTCGATATTATAGTTGCCAGTCCCCTGGGTGGGATCTCCTGGCATTGGCAGCATGTCCTGCAGAAGAGAAGAGAAGAGAAGAAAGCCATGGGGCAGTCAGGTTCTTTGCCCGTGGACTGTGTATGTCCCAGGAGCCCAGCCTGCCACTCACCCTCACAGCTGTCTCTCTAATGGACAGCTCAGGAGTATTCCCCAACCTTCCAAGGGATGCTCTGCAGGGATACTCAAATGTCTGAGACCCTAGGAAACTGTCCTCCCCAGGGAGCTGCCATGCCAGCTGGTAAACAGCAGTAGGACTCAACTTTTATACATGTAACATGGAGCCAGGGACACAGGGTGGGCATGAGCCCCAACTGGTGGGGACAACCCAGCCTGGCACCAAGCAAGTACAGGTGGTCGAAATGTGACTAACGCTATGAAACTTAAGAGTGAGTGGAGAGATCTGCGGCCTGTATTCACCGTGTGTAGCACACTTTAGCTTAAACAAGTCTTCTGGACCTCAGACTACCCATTTAGGATACAGGAGTAGCAACATCTCAATTCCTTATGGGATATGTCCTGTTGTGTTGTTAAGTTCCCAGCTCATATAATGCTGCATGAGAAAAGAATTCTGTGGACAAATAAGTTTGGGAAACAAGGCATACTTTGTCTATCTCCTAGAAATCCACAGTCCTCATTGGTATAATAAAGGTTCTGATAAGTCCTGTAAGAAAGAAATTGAATAACTTTGTTTAACCAGTGTTAAATTTTGTTTAACCAGTGTTTTGCAAACTTATTTGACCAAGAATTCTTTTTACAGTGTGACCCTGAAGACCACCATTAGGAAATTCTGTTTTCTGCTAGGAGGTATAGATGGGCAAATGCCTTACAGAAGGAGGAAGAAGGGCTGTCGTGGTAGATAAGGGGACTCAAGGGAAGGGTTGGTTAGGCACTCCTCTGCACACTGAATAGTATGCTGCCTCTGTGGAAACCTCATCAATACCTGGGCTCTAGATCTGTGTCTGTGAGGGTACTTCTTGACCTGGTTGGAAAGAAGCTTGGGATGAGGGTGAAGTAAATGGAGCATTGACTCTTGAGCATAGCCTCCCATGCTATGGTTCCTGCACCTAGCCCTGCTTTGCAGCCAGGACAGGACAGAACAGGGCTTTATGACCCCACTGGAGATGCCTGGGTTCTGGTTGCAAGGATCTGGTGGGATGGACCTCACTGCAGGTGAAGGGGGAAGCAATGCACTCAGAACCTCCCATGAAAACTATTCTGGCTGAAAGCGGAGCCCAGAGAACTGGTAGTAGGGAACTGAAAGGATTTCAGGTATCTAGCCAGTGGGCAGCACCCTTAGCCTAACCAAGAGGAGAGCTGAACCAGGGCCAGCCTGGCACTGGGGCAAGGTCCTGGAGAGGGACGTCCTCCTATCCTGGGTATAGGCTGGTGAGGAGCAGGTAGGACAGCCAAAGGTGAGGAAAGCTCGCAGGGGAGAAATGGACCCAGCACTAGGGCCAACCCTCATTAGCCTTCTACTCTATGCACCTCTCTTGGGCAGTTCTGAGCTGGGGCAGGGAGGAATCTCTAATTGTAGTCTCCCCTTTTGCTCAAAGGCCCCTCCTCCTCAGCTCAAAGGCCCCTTCCCCTCCCTGAGTGCATCACAGTTTTGGTTGGACAGGATGGGACCTTCTACTCCTGGACCCCCTGCTAACCCCAGGCCAGGCCAGAACTCACACTGGCTAGCGGGTGGGCGGTGGTGCGGCAAAGACCAAGGGGGAAAGGAAGCAGAGAGAAGGCGCCGGTACCTACGAGAAGGCGGTGCTCGCTCGATTTACCTGGAACACTTCAGTCTGACCGGGCTGCTGGTGGGAGTGCTGCTCACCGCTCTGCTGGCCGTGGTGCTGGCTCTGCCACTGTGACCAGACTTCTGAGGGCCTCCCCTGGAACTGCCCGCTACTTTGTCCACTCTCAGCTGAAAGAGCCGACGTACAGGACACTTCTTTAAAAGTCATCCCTGGTTTCATGAGACTTAAGAACCACTCCAGCTCCAAGGGCCCCACCTTCCTAGGAACATGTTTCTTCTCCCATCTTTCTTTCTCTGACTGACAGACAGCAAGATAAATGGGTGAAAGGCATGGGGCCTCTGCAGAATGGTGCAGGGGCTTGGCTGGGGTGTGGTTCTCCATGGAAAGCACCTCCCAGATGACTGGGTGCTCCAAGCCTTGGAGCCCTTTGCTCTGTTGTGGCTGCTCATGAAGCTGCTCATCTGGATTCCAGCCACATTTGGGACCAGCAGCATGGGCTGGAGAGTTCCTCTCCCTAGCATGTGAAGGCAGATGCAGCCTTCTAGATTCCTGGACTCCCCTCTGTTCATGGGCTGCTCTTTCACCTGGCCTACTAGGGAAGAGGCTCACCTCACAGCTGTCTTCACATTCACCAAGCTGTACCACTGGTCCTGCTGCAGGGCAGAGCCACCCCGTCCCATTCTCTGTGGCTCTCTGTCAAGTATTCCTCAGCATCTTAATATTTCTTAGTTTGTTTAAGAAGGAAGGAATTTGGGCACTGCTCAGATGGGAAGATAAAGCTCCTCTGTGGAATCAGCAAATTACTTTATAAATGAGAGCCACTTTGCTTCCTGCTACAGTTTACTAAAAATACTCAACAGGAAAACTGAAAATAAGCAGAATTTTCTCTAAATCATTTTAAAGATTCAACCAAAGAGAATTCTGTTTTTTTTTTTTTTTTGATGGTGCTAGGGATCAAAACCAGGGCCTTATGCATGCAAGGCAAGCACTCTACCAACTTAGCTATATCCCCAGCTCCCCCATTTTTTTTTCAGTTGTAGATGAACACAATATCTTTGTTTTATTTATTTATTTATTTATGTGGTGCTAAAGATTGAATCCATGCCTCATGCATACGAGGCAAGCGCTCAACTACTGAGCTCAACTACCCCAGCCTAGCCAAAGAGAATTCTTAAGAAAAATTACACTTTTCATTTTCTTCCTTCCTTCCTTCCTTTTTTCTTTTTTATAGTACTAGGTAGGGATTGAACCCAGGGTCCCACACATGCTATGCAAATGTTCCATCACTGAGTTACAACACCAGCCTGAAAGAATACCATTTAAAAAAGTTATCTGAAGGCAGATCTCAAACCTTAGGAACCCCCCTTGCCACCATCAGTGTCAAATTATTCAGTGACATTGTGCAGTGTGGAGACAGTGGTGCTTTGTCAAGCTCTGAACTGAGCTCATTATTATTATTTTTTTTCTTTTTGGTACTGGGGACTGAACCTAGGGCCACGTTATCACTGAGCCATGCCCTCAGTCCTTTTTATTTTTTGAGACAGGATCTCAGTAAGTTGTCCAGTCTTGAACTTGTAATCCTCCTGCCTTGGCTTCTCAAATCTCTGGGATTATAGGTGTATGTCACTGTGCCCAGTTCTATTTTGCCCTATCTTGCTCTTTCCAATGGCTATCCTGACTTTCGACAAAACTCACCTACCCATCCTTAGCAGGGGTGCCTGGCTAATCTGAGGTGAGATCCAGGGAGAAGAATCTCTCTCTCTTCCTCTCTTACACACATCTCTGTTCTTAATGCCTGAGATGTAAAAGGCTTTAATAAATCATGTAACCTCCCTTTAACACCTTAACCACTGGCGGTTTTCAAATTGTGCATGATGAGAACGGTTGGCTCAGCATAACAGGGAATGGAGTCTACTGTGTATAGAGGGCATCTGGCAATCTGAAATGTCTTTTCCCGAGACTCCCAAACTGAACTCAAGGACCAGAAGGAACTCTAAAAGGAATAATTTGCTGTTGAATTGCAATTTCAAGGCCAGTTTGGGAAACATAGCAAGACCCTGTCTCAATATATAAAATAAAAAGTGCTGGGGATGTAGCTCAGTAGTACAGCATCCCTGGGTTCAATTCACAGTACTTAAAAAAAAAAAAAAAGTCTAGAATTGGCTGTGGGTAGAGAGCAGGCCTGGTTCACAACTGTGCCAAATTAAATGAGCAGCTAGGATTCCCACTTGACAGGCACCAGTCCCATTCTAGAGCCTCAGAGGCTAGACACAATCTGGTCTACCATTGCTTGGTGGGAAGATGGATGAACACAGTGGTCACCTCTGCTGTGGGATGCACCAGGCAGGCTGTGGAATGTCCTCGGGTGTTGAAGGAAATAACTGCCTTCAGGTCTGCTCTGGGATGCTGCTCCAACGAGGTCTCCTATTGAACACTGCCCATCATGATTCAATGTCTACAACCCTTCCTGACAGCTGTGTGTCTATATTGCTGAGCCCTGGTCACTCACTACACGATTATGCATTGCCACAACCAATCCAACAGGCATTCAGAGTTCTCATTCTTCTCAATCATTCTCAAATATTCAACATACTGCTACTCATTTTGGTAATATTTTGTTGACTTCCATGACTGCTGTTGATGTTAGTTCTACTATCCCTTATGGGATTCCTTCTCTCCCATCAGCAGGAAAGCTGGGAGGAACCTTTTCTATTCCATGAACTGACCTCTCACTTATCATGTGGCAAATGTTTCATGAGCACCCGTGATGACACAGGCTCCGTGTGACACTGTACACACTGGAGAACAAGAATGCTTCTATCTTGAGCACCTTCCAGCATGGTTGGGAGAGGAGTGAGCACAAGTTCTGCAGAGGAGAGTTGCTATTAAAGGGTTTCCAGAAAAAGGATAAGAACCCTCAGAGGGTACCTAACTTAGTCAAGGCGAAGAGAAAAGGCTTTGCAGAGATCTCAGAAATGACTAGCTAACTGGGTGTAGGCCTTGTAAAGAATTCCAGACACAAGGATAGGTTTAAAGGCCTAAGGGTGAAAGAGGATGACCCCATCCAGGTTTCCACAGGTAGCTCAGGATGGATGAGAACCATGGAACTAGGCAGGCGATAAGAGATGAGGTTGCAGGGCGAGCCAGGGTCAGGTGTAACCACCAGTGTGACCAATTTTTTGAGGGTAACAGAGAACTACCGAAAATTTTAAAGTGTGGGCACAGCACACATAGATTTGTAAATTCAGGAAGGTCACTGTATCAGTGGGTGAATGGACAATATGACAGGGAAAAAGAAGTTAAAAAAAGGAATAGAGTAGACAAGAGGAGAGAAAAGGAAACCAGTGAGGAGGAGTCTGCTATACTAATCTTTGCAAGAGAGGATGGTTGCTTGAGCTATGGAACATGAGCAGGCTGGAAAGAAGTGGATGAATCTGAGGATAGGATGGAGAAGGAGGTGCCTAGACTTGTGAATTGCCAACTGAAATGGCTGCACCAAGGATGGGAGTGAGAGGAGCTAGGGATGACAAAATCAGGTTTCTGGTGGTATTTACCATTCTGGTTTTTCTCCTGAGCTTTGGATCCATTATCTGTCTGTGCCTGGGCCACATGGCTGAATAGTAGAAAGACAATTTCAATTCTTCCTGCCTCAAGTGATCATTTCCTCTCCTCACATAGCCTAGAGCAGGAGACCAGGACTGTCACTGTCTCCTCTCTCTCAACACCTCTTGTCCAATCAAGAGGTTCTATCAAGTTCCCACCCACCAAAAAAAAAAAAAAACAAAAACAAAAAACCTAACTCTCAACTCCTACCTCCTTTTTCCCCCATCACACTGCCACACAATGCTCTGAAGCTACGCCTGCACCCAGTCCCCCCAGATCCATACATCTCCTGGTGCTGACCCAAAGCAGAGTCTACTGCTTACAAAATGCTGGATGGTTGACCACCATCTGTGAGGTCAAGCACACAATCTCAGGGTCTTTTGTAATGTGGCTTCTATTGTTCCAGCCTTATCTTCCACTTCTTGCCTCTGTAACCCTACCTCTTCCCCTGGTCACATGACAACACCTGGATACCTGCCCCCCAATATCACATGCAGTTATTTCTCTATGCTACTGTACCTGTGCTCTGTCATGTGCCTAGAGGATTCTACTCATGCTCAAAGCCCTAATCACATGTGGCCCCATGGTACTGACTTCCTCAGTCACTGTCTCTTCTTTGCTTACCTCTGGTGCTCATCATTTCTCATGACAATGCTCATCATACCATACTAACTTACCCTAAACTGGAGTAAATTAAGGCCAAGGATCTTATTTATGTCTACCCCAGGCTTTACTGAGAAAACTACTTGGAATACTGAGGCTTCAATGAGCATTTGCTAAGAGGAAGAATAAAGGAAAGAAGGAAGAAAGGAAGGAGGAAGAGAAGTAAAGGAAGAAAGAAAGGAGGGAGGGAGGAATGAACAGGGGAGTAAGATGAACATGGATAACCCATGAACATTTATTTCTGTGCATTCAAGGCTTCCTGGCTTGTAAATGAAACAGTTCCACTTTCTCTCATCAGCCCTACCTCAGTGACAGTCAGGGACAGTGCAGGGTAGAAAAGACTAGTTCTCTATTCATATTTGGGGGTACTTGATTATATTATTTACAGATAAAAAAATTTCAGTATAAAAATTCTTAAATTTTTGCCAAGGGAGGTGCTCTTCTTAAATGTTTGCAATAAGAAAGAATCCATAAACCGAATTGCCTTTGAAATGCAAAAAATCGTGGCAAAAATACATAAAATAGTTAAGAAGAATGGAAGGGACTTAGTATTTTTTGAGAACTGTTTGTGTCCAATGCATGATGCTACATATTTTACGTACTTTATTTTGATTCATTTCTAGATCTAAAAATGTGTTCCTTATCCACATTTTCAGATAAGGAAAATGAAGCTCAAAGATGTCAAGCAATTGGCCCAACTCATTTAGCATATGAATGCCAGACCCAGGGTTTGAACCTAGACCTTTCTGATACAGAAGTCCATGTATTATTTGTAAAGAAAGTATTTAAAATGAAAGGCTAGTATGTACTGGATATGATACCCTGTGTGGCAAGATGGGTGACAGACACTGGACAGTCCACTGAGAACAACGGATAAGGAACTAAGCAGTCAGCATGGTTGAGAGCTCATCTAAGGGATGCACTGGCAGCTGTGGAGGGCATGAAAGCAGAAAAGCACTCAACCTTGAGTATTCCTGGAGGAGATGACCTCAAAGCAGTGACTTGAAGGATGAGCCCACCAGCCAAGAGACAGGGCAATTAAGGGATACTGAAAAGTTCTGCTACTGGAAGTGTTTACTTTTCCCTCCCTACGTTAGATCAGTGATCTCTCTGGCTAGATTATGAGCATGAACTTCACTGTGACCCTCCCGGATGATAGCATGTGGGATTTTAGCCTAAGCATGACCAACAGCAGGACCACTGCAGTGCAAGTAGATAGTCAGCAAGGGCTACAAATGGCCTGCACCCAAAATGTACATGCATCTTTCTAGACAAAAATCCATTGGTTCCCAACATCCTGGTGTTACATTGTTATTTTGAAAGCCATATGTAGTTACAAACCATAAGCTGGGCTCCAGCCATGTGTTTCTTCTGGTCTGTTGGCTTCCTAAGGCAGGCCAGGCTGCTTTGCCCTAGCTAGATGGGTGGGCCACTGCCAGGCCTGGTGCCTACATGGGTCATTATTGCTGCCACCCCTGGGACAGCCAGGTGGGCTTGCAGACCACAGGTCAGATCTTGAGGAACTTTTAGATTCCTAGGCTATAGGGGCAGAGATGACAACTTCCTTTTCCCTGTAAGATTCAGGTGATTTGGAAAGGTGCTTTGCAGCAATTCAAACCTGATTTGAGATCCTGCTCAGAGGTTCTATCTGGTCCTATTTAGCTCATGGTTCTCAACCAAGGGTGATTTTTCAAACCACCAGGAGACATCTGACATTGTTCAGAGACATTTCTTATGATCATAAGCAGAAGAATGCTAGTAGGTAGAGGCTGGGAACACTGTTAAATACCCTATAATATACAGACAGTCCCCCCCCCCCAAGAAATAATTATCTAGCCCCAAATGTCAATAGTGTGGAGGCTGAGAAATCCTGCTGGATAAAGCTAACGAAGATCACCAGAGGGGCAGCTTATCTTACAAATGCCTAGGCATTTAGCAAGGACCATTTCTAGGCATCTTAGCAAGGACCAAAAACTTTCTGAATTTTCTGGCTAGAAACTCACCTTTTCAAGACTAACTAATAGGATCAGGGAGGTCTACAATCCTTTAAATTTTGCTAGTGAAAATGTACAGGGCTGAATTTGGGGCCAGGATCAAGATCTGGGAATAGGTAGGGACAGGTGTTTATAAACATTTCAGATTACTGAAATTCAATGAGTTTATCCTCCCCTGCTACACTCTGTAATTATGTATCCTATTTCTTTCTGAGAAATGACATTTTTGTAATGACAAATTCACTACATTCCCCTCTCTAAAGTAAATCTGGGCTGAGTCTCAGGCTTTGTGGAGTGGGGTCTCCTTTTCTGAGTTCTTGCATACCCAGTCTTTTTGAATTTTATTTTGAGGCAAGGTCTTGCTAAATTGCCCACACTGGCCTTGAACTTGTAATCCTCCCAAGTTGCTGGTTGTGATCTTCCTGCCTCAGCCTGCAAATAGGACTCCACAACTGCACTCAGCTCTCAGCTCTTGTCTCTTTCTTGTCTACCTACCCTTGGCCTCAAAGGCAGAAGCTGCTGCCCACCTGTGTTACTACCGTATTCCTCAGGCTCCTTGTTTACCATTTTTTATTAATAAAAAAAAATGTTTAAACTTTCCCTGTTCAAATCACTGATCTCCTGATTAGGCCAGGCTGCTATATACCCTGTACCAGGATGGTTAAGGAGACAAGTGCCTGGATATGTCAGCATTTACATCATTGAGTTGAGTGGCTTCCTATTTCTACTTCTGGACGCTGCATTTCATATGACAAGGTTTTGCTGTGACCTAAGCCAAAATGAAAGTGAAGCTAAGTGTGGAAACACAAATGTGACAGTGTACAGCTTAAGATAACTCGATAGACCAGAAATGGAAGAATTGCTTTGGATTGAGGCCTGAAAGCTCGTGGAACAAAACCCACGTGGTTCACAGAAAGGCAAAACTCAGACAGGGCACTTTTCCCATTCAATGTATTAATTCAATCTATAAAGTTTCCTGAAGAGCTCAGCACTACTGAAGCACTGTTCAAAAGTGACATGTTATGTGGTTGCCCCTTGATGTCAGCCACCTGGGTTGTGGCAGGTGATGTTCAGTGTCTGCTCAGCAGGTATTTCAAACCCGTCTGCTCCTGCCCATTGTGAGGAGGGACAGGATTGACTATGCTATCTCTCTGGATTCTGGCATCTGGTTGAAAGTAACTAGCTGAGGCCATGTTGCCTGGGTGCTACCATGCTTGGGGTCCCATTGATGCCTACCAGAGGCCCCTAGGCCGCAGCTGTCTGATGCATGCACTCAGTGCCATGCATGTGCAGGGCTAGGGCACCGTGTCCATTGCAAATGTAAGCACTCTTGTTGTTTTAGCTGTTTATGTTTATTTAATACCTAATGAAACTGACCATTAATGGAGACTGCTCTGTTCCCTCTCTATCCACCCTTCTATCTGCTCTGCTCCCTACATCCCCCCACTGTGCCCTCAGAACAACCTCTGAGGGTGTGAGTAAACAACCATTAGGCTCTGTTCCTAATCATACACCCTCTTTCCTCTGACCTTGACCAATGTGCCTCCACTGCCAGTCTATTTCCTGAAGCCCTGTGGAGCAGAAGCTGACCCCACAGTTGGCAGGAGTCTCACATTCTGCTTCTGTCCAAGTTAACACATAATGTAGCCATGGTCAGGCCATGTGAAGCTTCTCAGTCCTTCATGTCTCTGTTTTAGTCTCTCACATCCTCACTGAAAGGGTTCCAGCTCCTTTCTCATGAATACAAATCATGGGGTATCTCCTAGGGCACCTAGTGCCTCCTTAGTTCTAAATCTCCTCAGGGATGGACGAGAAGGGGATGGGAAGCACCAAGCAGTGGGTGGGAGCACAGTCTTTGACCCTGGCTTCCCAAATACCTCGGTATAGCCTTGAGCTTTATCAACCTTGTACCTCAGTGTATTTTTCTATGAATTGGGAATAACAAAGATATTTTTCTCTTAGGGCTACTGTGAGCATTAAAAGAATTCAAATGTATAAAATGTCTAATATAGCCTTTACTGTCTGGCTTATAGTAACCATCCAATAATGATTACCTGCTGTCATAATCATTACCATTCGAGAGTGAGACAGCACTGAGGCTGCTGTAGAAATGGCTGCTGGGTCTAAAGTCCCATGTATGATCCTATTCTTGGCATCAGAGGTGGGCAGTGATGTCTATGTAGGGCTTTGTCTTTCCTGTGTCTCATTTCCATTTACACTTCTGGCCCCGGTGGTTGCTTGGTGGATACTGGACAGATGCACAGAGCTAAAGGCATGGACTACTGGGGCAGGGAAGTGGCCTTTCCACCTGTCTTGTTAGGGTCACAATGAGATGCTCTAAGGCATTCCCAGGGATGGATGCTCAGTCTCTTCTGGAGACTCTCCTAACATTATGAGACACACTGGCCAACCCTTCTATTTGGTAGCTGCCAGGGCCATGTAGGACATACAGGGCCTGGTGCTCACAAAGGTATAAATCAGAATAAGTCAAAGTAGAAGGTCCCTCTTGCTTCCAGGAATGTCTAGATACCTATCGTGCTTTGAGTCTGCAAAGGCCCACCTTTAGGAGGGGGCAAAGGGATCTCTCCACAGCTGTACAGGATGTTTTCGCATGTTACAGCAGGGGAGGTGGGTACTCTCCTGGCTACTAGAGACCTCTGCCTTAGAATGGGTACTAAGCTAAGGGCTGCTAACCTGAATGCACCTGGCAGAGGTTGCTCCTTCCTGAAGAGACACTGTGCTTCTAAACCTAGTGCCATTTAATAACACACAATGGTTGAGAATGTGAACATGCCAAAGTAAATGGGACTGATGTTGGAGGGACAGTTGATTCCAGGGAGACAACAGGCAGGTGTCAATAGATGCAGTTTCCAGGACTATGGGCTGAGTGGGGCAGGAGGTAAAGGGAATGGGGAGTAGGTGGCAACTTTATATTATGACCAGGGTCGCTGCATAGCATTTTTCCTAAGGCTGTCAGATAATCTGCTTAAAGAGAAGCCTGTGATTTGGCAAATGGAAATTTGAATGTTTGGGCTGAGCTTCATGTTCATCTGAGAATGATGTGCTCTGCAGAGAAAAGCCCTGCGCACCTTATTGTTCAATGTCATGCAATGACAGCACTGTGATGACGTCGTAGCAGCTTGGGCTTCTTACCAGGACCCTCTGGTGAAATGGAGTCCCAGTGGTGAGAGAGGCCCCAGGGGCTTTGTCAATATACAGAGTGAAAAACAGGCAGGGCTCCTGAGACAGTAGGTCCCAGAACTCTTTGTTAACAAAGTTGAGAAAGATGGTCTTCTAATGAGTCAGGATTCCTTTCATGATATTAAAAATAGGGAGAACTTTACAGTGTTATTGACATAATTGATGATCCCCATATTCTCTAGTCTTTTGAAATAAGACTTGGTGGACCTGAAAGTCCTTGCCAAGGGCCATAAAGGATCAAAATAGCATTAGATAGCATGAGTGCATAGAAACTTTATCAAGTCTTAAAGTCAAGGTCTAAGCACCAGGTGTCTCAGGAGCACCCTGGGCCTCCTCTTTACAGCCTGAGAGAGGAAGGCACTTGGAGACCTCTGGACCTTGTCCCAAGTATTCTGGGAACTTGGGGCCCAGCTATTCAAATTCAGTATGTTCAGAAAGCATTTCTGCTGACTCTGCTAGGAATTCTTTCCCTCATTCCCCACCTACCGAACCCTGGAGTCCTGTTGGCAAGACTGGAGTAGGCATTCCCGCTGGGTGAGGAGGTAGCTGGACTGGAGAGAGGACTGTAGGAAGAGGGGTCTGCCGGGTAGGTGTGGCTTGTTCCAATCCCGAAGGGAGATGACTGGGTCTTGCTGGACTGAGATGGGATTTGCTACAGTCAGGACAAAGCAAAAAAATGGCAGTATCACCCCGGGACCCCCACCCATTGCCCAGGTTGTCATTGCCACTGGCATCTGCTCTGGGTGACAGAAACACTCCTGGCGGGCTGGGCAAGTGTTTGGTATCAGCCCCCATGTGAGATCTTTGAGGAGAGTCTGATTGATGTAAGACTCATTGTACCCCCCAGGCTACAATGATCAGGGTCCTCTCACTTCTGCTTGAGGGCGTCTTAGCATTGTGGATACCAAGAGCTTGCTTGCCCATTCAACATCCATTCTTGCAGTGACTGCTAGGGAGCCAGGCATAGCACCTGTTGTGTTTACGGATCTTCCTGATGCAGGACCCAACAGAGATCCAGAGTGATGAGAAGCTCTTTATTTTTTTTTAATTTTTATTTTTTTGAGAGGCTCATTCTTGATGAGTACCTGACCTGTTCCTGCCTGATTCCCTCAGGGCAAGACTGTAAGGAGAAAGGCTGCTGGGTCAGACAGCCTTTGAAAGGGTTTGGGAACCTAGCTTTCAAAGTGCCCTGATGAGGGTGGGTGCTCCTGAGTAGCTAAACACTGCAGGGTAGTTGGATCCATCTGAGAGTACCACCCATCCTCACAACTGGGATTCACAGGAAGCACATGGTGGGTGGTCTGCCACAATGGACACCTGAGACAATGCCTTTACAGATGCACATACCTGTCCCGGAAAGGGTGGACGACTCCCTGTCCATGCCACCTGACTCTGGTTTAGCTGCCGGGAAATCTGGGACATGTTCTGGCCCGTTGAGGAGGAGGACTGAATATCATTCACTCCAGGTACATGAACCACTGAAGAGCTAGAAAAGAAGAGAATGTGTTTACCCTGAGGGACTGCCCTATTTTGCATGAGCCTGTGTGCCCACCTTGCCATGCTGGCCCTTCTTCCTATGCTCACCCTCCAGTGACACTAGGAATAGCTTCCTCTGGTACTCCCTGAGCAGACCTGCTATGTCTAGTCTTGTATTCTCAGCCTTCTCCTCCTCCCACAGGATCCTGCATCTCTCTCCTCTGCTCATCCCTTCTATGCATTTATTGCTTTCAACAGATGATATGATTCCCAAGAAGATAAAGTATCTCAGAATACAAGTCAGTCTCAGTGCTAACATGTTCTTTGTGCTTTGGTTAATTTGTCCCTTTGGGGTCGCTGGAAGGTTTAAGGACTCAGGAAATAGGCTTCAGGCTGTCACTTAGTTTCAGGCAGAAAAACAAGCCCATCAATGGAAAGCTGCTGGATGGGACTCAATCCTGCTTCTGCAAGTGCCTGGCTGTTTGTTTACCTCTTCTGCCTTCAGTTTAACTCGGTAGGTCTTTATTAGGTACCTGCTATGTGCATGACAGTGCTCAGTGCTCTTTGAATGCCTTTTGCAGGTTCAGTCCCAGACACTGTCCCCACTCCTAGGCATATACTGTCTGTGCTGCTAGGTACTTGTTCCAAGAGATTTTTCCCAGCTATGCCAATTATGTGATAAGTTCATTAAAGATAGATTTGTATTCTGAGATGGGATTTGCTACAGTCAGGACAAAGCAAAAAGATGGCAGCATCACCCCGGGATCTCCACCCATTTACCAGGTTGTCATTACCACTGGTATCTACTCTGGGTGACAGAAACACCCCTGGCTCTCCTGGCTGGCTGGGCAAGTATTTGGAATCAGCCCCTATGTGAGATCTGATAGAAAAAGATAGAAAGGCTGGGAGAAGCCTTTTGTTTCAGGCCTTTCCTCCTGCCTCCTAGGGATGAGCTCGGTGTACAGTAAGGTCCTTGGATGCCTAAGAATAAACTTGAGTAGGGTGGCTGGGCCCAATCCCAGAAGGCTCTTGGCAGATGCAGGTTTTCAGCTAACTTTTAAAAGAGGTAGGTTATAGATCATTGATAAGATTGGGTACCATTTCACTAAGTATATTCTTGTTTTTCTGATTTTATTTATTTTTTATTGATTTTAAAAAAATAAAGGACAGTGGAATGCATTACAATTCTTATTACACATATATAGCACAATTTTTCATATCTCTGGTTGTATATAAAGTATGTTGACATCAATTCATGGCTTCATACATGTACTTTGGATAATGATGTCTATCACATTCCACCATCCTTGCTAATCCCCTGCTCCCTCCCTTCCCCTCCCACCCCTCTGCCCTATCTAGAATTCATCTATTCCTCCCATGCTCCCCCTCCTTACCCCACTATGAGTCAGCCTCCTTATATCAGAGAAAACATTCGGCATTTGTTTTTTTTTGGGGGGGGGATTGGCTAACTTCACTTAGCATTATCTTCTCCAATGCCATCCATTTTTTTTTTTTTCTATGCTAGCTGGTCCTTCTTAAAAATCACAAAGCAAGTTTAGTTATTAATGTAAAAGAAGATGCCATTTCCAGCCTCCTGCATGAAGTTTAATTTCACACAAGGGCTCCCTGCCTGATCTCCTTCCTGATGAATGTATGACTTTATAGACTATTTTCTGATCACTGTTCTTTACAGAAGTCTCTCTGTTACCTGCTAAGCCCTCAGTGCCCTAGGAAAGATGCCCTGGCCAGAAGAGATGAGCTTCTTGGGGTAAAGTGTTGTCCAGCCCTCCCCAGGGCCTCTGGGCTGCCTGCCTGGGCCCAGACAGGTCAAGGCTTGTGGGAACATAGCAGAAGAACTCTGGGTGAAGACATACTTAGGGATGTCAGTAATGGCTCTCTACTAGGGGTTTAAGGCTGCCTATGACTGTGGAGGATTTAGAATCCTTTATCCTATACCCTTCTCCATCCTCAAACAGCTTAGGTTGTTTAGAATGATAGGAAATTCTACCCATTCTGCAGGCATTAGCCCTCACAGATGCATTTCACAGACTAGTACTGAGCAGTTGCTTCTCATGCTGGGCTCTGCCCAGGTGCTGGGGTGCTCCCTGGACCCCTCCCCACATAGCCAGCTACAAGCCTGCCTCTTCTTCTCTGTCACTCTCATCAGTGCATCTTTTATTTCTATGACAACTAAATAATGATGAGCTGAACTGTCTGTCCTGAGTGCCTCTCTTTGGCTTCACTTCTTTACTCTGATCCACACTGCCTCCAAGGCTACATTATCTTATCACTCTTCTAAAATCCATCAACAATAAAATCCCAATTCCTTAGCATGCTACTCTGAGACTCTGTAGCCTCACATTGGCTTCCCTGCACATGAAGTCTCCCCCAGTCACCCCTGCCTTCTAGGCTTTGCTGAGCATATTCTTTGTGCCTGTGCACTGTTTCCACAAAAGGAGACAGAACTTCACTTTTGTTTCAGAGCCAGCCAGGCCTTCTCTTCCTTGTCCTCTTCTTGCCTCCTGCTGATGCTTCTTCCCTGCTCCCCTTTGTCCAGTTTGGAGGACAAGCAGCAAATAAACGTGAGGGTCTGGCAGGGCTGTACAGGCTGCCATCAGTTCATGTGTGTAGATAGGCTGAGTAATGAGAGTTGTCTGACCACTGCTCAACAAAGCCCTCTTGTTCTACTGTCCCCAGACCACAGGATAGCTGCCAGAATTCACCAGAGCCTCAGAGCAGCTGCTCTTCAGTGAGGTACACCAGTGGGATCAGCTAGAGCCATTCCAACCTCTGTTAATCCAGGGCACAGCTGCAGAGTCACCCATTCACCTCATTCTTGGCAGAGCCTCCCTCCTGGGCATTAGGTCCACCTGCCTAATCCAGGTTCCTGCCTACACCTAGAAGCTCTGCTAAGGCTCTGTCCAACTTTACCAGAGGCTATGCTATCTGCTGGGCATGGAATGTTGTGAACTTGGGGGGTCTGGTATACAGGTGAGAGACCCTATCTCTGAGAGCCACCAGTTTTTCATCTGACCTGCTCTCCCTAGTTTATGCGCCTGTTCCTTCAGCAGAAATTGGAGTCAGGTATTGCCTTCAGTAATGATGTTGGAGCTTCTTCAATGATCTACAAGATGTCTGGATACAAAGGACCATATCTTGGGGAGGCCAGGCACCCTGCTTTACCCTTGTGTTCCTTTAGGGTGAGGTCTAGACTTGATGGGTTGTGTTCTGTTATCCTTGGACTTGGTCATGGCCTCTGGGAACCAGGGAAGAGGCAGCTTCCTTGTCCCTTGTCAGCTGTCTGGATCCAGCTTTTCCCCACCTAAATCTTGGCTAGGGATCAACTCACTCTCGTCTCCCCACCAGGAACTGCTGACAGTAGCTGGTACCCTTCCCATCTGAGAATGAATAGCTAACATCAAGCATCTAGGGCAACTAATAGAGGGCTCATGGAGCTGAGCCAGTGACACCATAATCCTCAGCTTGCCTCCGAGATATGGAACAGGAGCCACTAACTCAATGTTTGCAGCACACGAAGCTGAGCTTTGAGACACAGGGCTTTCCTGAGGGGAGGACTAGTCCCACCCTTCCCCACTACATCTACTACCTGAAGGCTTTCCCCGAGTGTCCAGGAGGGAATGGGCTTCCTTGAGAGTAGATCTGCTGGGTTCCTGCTGCAGAGGCTGAATTCATCATCTTCTTCTCCGCTAGGAAAACCAAAACAGGAGTCACATGTGAGCGTTCCCTGCCCTGCAGACCACTGGGGAGGCTGCCCCAGAACAGGTGCAGGGGTGGGCATGGAAGAGTAGGAGGCACACACTGGGGCAGACTCCTTTGCCTTTACCTCCACATCTCACCTCTCCTGGGGCCTCCCTGGCATGAGGGAGCATCTGGCTGTTGTTCCCTGACTCAGGGTGGTTACAAGCCACCTGAAGGCAAGGTCCTATTCGAGAGTGGGGAAGATTAAAAGAATGAATGAAAGTGCTTCATTATTGTATCCAATCCTTCCAGCCCTGATGGTAGGAACCATAATTATTCATCTAATGGGTGAGGAAGCATAGGGTAATGGGGAAGAGATCCATTCTTACACTCAGCCCCTGGCCTTGGATCCCAGCTCTGTCTTATGTATCTGAGGTGTCACCTTGGACATGTTTAACCTTCCCCTGCCTCAGTTTCCCCACTGGAAATAAGGTGATAAACAGTGTCTTACTTATAGAGCTGCGGTAGGATATCAAATGGGTTAATGTAAGCAAGGTGCTCAGAACAGTGCCCAGTAGCATCTAAATGTTTGCTATCATTTGTTACAGATGAGAAAACTGAGGTGCTGCTGTCACGAGAAAGCAAGGAAGGACCCAGGGCTTGAATTCCAGCCCAGTGATCCCTCAACTGCCCCCCAGAACCCCCAACCCCAGTGATGCAGTGGACTTCAGACTGTCTCTCCAGGGGCAGTGTGGACCTGTGTTCCCTGGCCTTTCACCAAGCTCTCTGGAGATACTGTGCTCCTCATAGGACTGTAAATACTCGGGCCCAGGCTGGAGTATGGTTTTCCTCTCAAAGTTCATGATATTTATATCTCTCATTTCAGGTCACATCTTCTGTGCCAAATAAGTCTATTTTCCCCTGGGGATGCCCTGAAGTCTGTGTCCTCTGGTGACAGTGACCACTCTACTACTTTTTTGGGTTTCCAGAGCATCTCTACCATCTGTTCTTTCAGGCCCAACAGTTCATTTCATTCTATTTTGATTATGTTGTATTTTGATAGAATATTAGAAGTAACTAATCAGGAGTTCTGGGAATGTCGATTATGTCATTGCTCATTCTTATAATCCTTACCATCAATAACTTTCTTGCTTACCTCACTTTATTTTTCTTCTGAGAGATTCCTGATTTGCTCAAAATTTCCTTGGAAATAAAATGTCTTTCCTTCTTCCTTTCCTGCCTGCCTTCCTTTTTTTTTTAAAATGTCCATTAGTAATATGTTTAAATATACTTGAAGTTCTTTCTTCATAAATGTTAACAAATAAAATAATACCTACTGCTGAAAATTTTTTTTAATCTGTTCACAACCCATAGTCCAAAAGATGCCTGGATCTTTGTAGAACTGTTTTGAGATTCTGGTTTTTACTGTTTATCTTTCATAGTGGTTAACAATTTATATGTTGATTCTAGGCATTAACAATTCTATTTCTATTTCACCATTGCTGTTCCATCCTATTACTTCCATTCCTGTGTTTTATATTTTGATCCGTTTCAGAAATAAGCACTATTTTTTGCAAGTAATTTTTTCAGAAAGTGTAAATAGACAGTGAATGCTTGAAGATGTCATTCTGTACATGAAAGCAGTTTGGTTGGTGGAAAAAAAATGGGGTTGCACATTTTCCCTGTGAATTCTCTAGATATCCCCTAAACCCAGAGTTCTGACATTTAGTTAACTTGGAGAAATCTAACTGAAGATTTCCCTCTTAGGTAATTTTTTTTCCTCTCTGAATGTCTGCAGGAATTTTTCTTTATTCTTCAAGCTTAAAAACATAACACAAAAGACTATGTCTAGGTCTTAGAGTCTTTTAACATTTTTAGTTTGGTATTTGTGGAGTGCCTGCAGTGGGAAGATGCAAGCATTGCATTTGGGGACATTCATATTTCAAAGTCCCTGACTTGGCTATCTGCTTTGTCCTGACTTTGTTAAATGTCCCTTCCCCACCTCAGATGACACATTCTCATATGCAATAATGTCCTCTCTAGTTCCCCAGAGAACAGAAGCCGAAGATTTTCTGAATTTTCTCCTTTTTCTCATAAAAACTAATTGCCAAAGGAGAACATCTGCTCTGATTTCTGCATTGGCCCTTCTTTTTTCTTGACTATCTCCCCCTTCCCCCATCCCCTTTCTGTTTTGACACTGTTATGGGAAGACGTCTATGTCTGCATAAGATTAAAAATCCAAATGGATTTCTCAGAGATGCTGTGGGCCTTTGATTAGGTATTTTGGGCTTACTGGAGAGGAGGAAAGACCTACTAGGTGCACTCTTGTCTCCTCTTGCTGGATGAAATGGTCTGTAGGCACATTTGAGTGGCCAGGGAAACCACCAGCAGGGAGCTTCCCTGGTTGCTAAGGGTCTGTTTTTTGTTGTGCTTTGGCAACTGGACCTTGTGTTAAATTGGCACCTATTGTCCTCGGAGTGAGTTCTGGCACTGTCTTTGCTTCCTGAAACTTTGGGTTAGTCTTGTGGGAATGAAGGCTTTGCTCTTCCAGTATTTGCTACATTAGGTGGACCAAGGTAACTCCCTTTCAGCTCTTAGATGTCTGTCTGTCCTACTCTTGATCTGCCTATCTTCCACTCATTAGTTCTCGTGGAACCATACTGAAATTCCTTCCCCGACAGCATCTCCCATGCTTCCTTTTCAGGAGCCCAAAGGCTTTCTCCCTTTGATACTGACTACACTGTGTCTTGCAGTTTCTTCTTTTCTGGAATTTGGAACCAGCAAGACCTTTTCAAATTTTGTATTTTGCTAATCTCAGAGGAGACACAAGTGGGAAAGCAAGGCAGCTAATCATATGGGCTCTACATGCCACCTTCCACCAGAACTGCATTGTTGCAACAGCGACACTGACATAGGTAGACTACTTCATGATGGCCAGAGAGGATCCGCCAAGTGAATTATGGCCATCCATGTAATAGAATTCCATGCTGGCAATAAAAGTGCTTCAGTTTGTTTAATGATCTGGAAATAAATTCATAACAAATTGTCATGTAGAAAAAAGCAAGCCATTCAACAGGACAAGTCCAGTGTTGTGTATATAAAGAATATACATGTGTAGGAAAAGACAGAAGGACTTACTTTAGTTTAGAAAGTTAAAATGATAATATTCACAAGGTAGGAGAGTGGATCACTTTTATTTTTCTTAATTTTTGTATGTTTTTATTTTAAATGTGGGCCATCATATGTTATGAATTAAATCGTAGTTTTTATGGGGGCATGTCTCCGACTTGATAACAAAATTAAACTGCACAATGAATTAATAGATTTCATTCATCTTAACCCCTTCAATTTAATTTATTTTTCTTTTCTTTTTTTTATGTGTGTGTGTGTGTGTATGTGTGTACTGGGGATTGAACCCAGGGGCACTCGACCACTGAGCTACATCCCCAAACTTTTTGTTCTACATTTTATTTTGAGACAGGGTCTTGCTATGTTGCTAAGGCTAGCCTCGGACTTGTGATCCTCCTCCCTCAGTCTCCTGAGTCTCTGGGATTATAGGTGTGTACCACCATACCCAGCTAACCGTTTAAATTTTAAAGATGAAATTCCAGTACCCCAGGCTGGTTGCTGCAGAAAACCAGTAAGTAAAAGGCAAGGCCAGGAATATGGAGAATCCATTCCAACTCCTGTATGTTGAGTTCTTTTGGTACCCTGAAGCAGTCACTCAAAATTCACTTTCCCTGACCTCTTCTCCCTCAGGGTTGCTGTCTCCACATGGGCTGAAAGCAACTGTAAATCCCATATCCTCACAACTTAGTGCCATCTAGAAACTTACATGCACTGATTCCTGCAAACATCTCAGCAAACCGTGGGTCTCTTTCTTGGGAGAAGATTGCATCTGCCTTTTCTACAGTCTTCCCAGCCTCGTGAACACCAGCAGATAGGTTGGGGACAGGGACCTGCTGGCACATTAAAGCACAATGGCAACCCATGTGTGAGGCACAGACTGCGTTGCAGGAGTCACCAGCTCTCCTGCAGCAGAGCCCTGCCTCCCCTTGAAATCACTGGCATTTCAGGTTTGACCATTCTCACAGGGTGGGGAAAGGTCAAGGACAATGGGGTTGGGGGTGGGGGGGACTGTGAACTAGGGGTCACAGAAAGTACACCAGAATCACACTGACTACTTTCTTAGAGATAAATGGAAAGGAATCAACTTACTCCACATATCAGGAAAAGGGAACATAAAGTAACTTAGGGAAGAGGTCAAATACTGACACAGGCCAGTTCTATGTATGCCCAGCTATCAGAAGAAGGGAGCAGAAGAAGAAAAAAGGAGAAGGGGGCACTGAGGAGATGGGAGAAGAAAAGGAGAAAGACCATTTAGGTATGTTGGGAGAAAGAGTGTGATAGGACAAGGCACATCAAGGAGAAAGGGACATAGGACCAAAGGCAGGAGAGATGGCCAGGAAGCCAGAGGGCCAAAGGAGTTCAGAACCTGCTTCTGGTGGCTTCTGAGTATGTGAGTACTAGAGTTTCTATATGGCCTTTTGAAATGTCCATCAGCCCTGTGAAATTCTCAATGCTGGTTGACCATGGCTGTTAGTTCTTCCCCTGGTCTTCACAAGTTTTAGGCGTTTCATGGCTCACTTCTGCACAGAAAAGTCACAACAGATTCCCAGGGGACCAAGATGCTCTTTGCACTGTAGAGGGTGGATGGGACAAGAGACTCTTTGGGTGGAGGGGCTCAAGCTAAAGGCTGAATTTAGTCCCCCATCCATTGGGTTAGAGACACTTCCAAATGGGAAAGGATTTCCCAGAAACTCACCTGAGATAAGTCATATGATGACAACCCGTCTCTCTGATGCACTTCCAATTCTGCCTGCTGCTGCTGAAGTTGCCTGTGAAACAAAAAGTCAGAGTGCTGTGAAGAATATAGAGGTGGTGACAGGCTTACACCAGAACTTTCCCATTCCCCAAAGTCATAGAGGGTGACAACAATGTATCTTCCTTTTTTAAAAAATTATTTTATATTATTTTTTATTTTATTTTTTGGTACTGGGCATTGAACCCAGAAGTGCTTTGCCACTGAGCCACATCCTCAGCCCTTTTTACTTTTTATTTTGAGACAGGGTTTCCCTCAGTTGCCCAGGATGGCCCCAAAGTTGCAAATTTCCTACCTTAGCCTCTCAAGTCACTGGGGTTAGAGGCATGTGCTATCATGCCTAGCTATTTTACTTTTAATTTCCCAAATCAAGATTCTGAGCCCTATATTTCAAATTTAGATTGCCACACTGAACTATTTAAGAAATAAGTTTTGATGTATGACTTCATTTTATGCAGGGTAAAAAGATAACACAATAAAAAAACAGATTTTTTTTTAAAAGGCTAAATTAAAAAATTCAGTTGAGTTTAAAGATGATTAAAAAAGCTGGCTTTAGATAATGCTTACCTACAACATAGTAGAAGTTTATATCATCTCATTTAATCCTCATACTAAATTTTTATACTGTACTTTAACTATATATAATAATTAAGAAGTTAAAGTTGGAAGAGGTTAGGTGGTTGTCAAGCTCAATTGGCTGACTAGAAGTGATTCTGATAAAGCAGAACAAGCGTCTGAGCCCACACTTCTGGATCTAAGTTGCTATAGTGCCAGTTGCTCCATTTGGGCAAGGGAAAAATTGATAAGAATAAATGGATGCTTTAAGTTTTAAAATATGAAACTAGGTTGCTTTCAAAGGACAGTAAATTCTACAACTCAGAGCTCACACATGAAGCGGAATGAGTGTCCTTGTCAATTTTCTTTTTGGGGGGGTTGCCGGGGATTGAATTCAGGGGCACTCGATCACTGAGTCACATCCTCAGTCCTATTTTTATTTTATTTAGAGCAGAGTCTCACTGAGTTGCTTAGTGCCTTGCTTTTGCTGAGACTGGCTTTGAACTCACGATCCTTCTGCTTCAAGCTCCCGAGCCGCTGGGATTACAAGCATGCACCACTGAAACCAGCTCCTCAATTTTAAATACTCCCATTGGAAAGAACTCCAGCTGGAGGACCCTGTGAATCGTCTGTTTAGGATTAAACCCAGATGAGTCATCTACTCAGTGAACTCTACTGAGTTAAGTGAAAGATCCATGCCAAGCTCCATGCTGGGCATCAGGAACAAACAGAACAATGACCTGGAGCCCACAAGATCTCTGCCCTCATGCAGCTGTCTCCCCAGCGGGAGAGAAATGTGTAGGCATGTGGTTGGAAGGTGGTGGGTTAAAACCACAGAGCACGTGCATGTGAGAACCTGTGGTCTGCCTCCTAACTTGGGATGAGAGTCCTAAAAAAGGATAAAGATAAAACCAGAAACACGTGATTTTCCATCAGGCAGTCTAAGCCCATGCTTGTTACACAAGAAAGTAGGAACATTAAAAGTAATTTTCCAGATAAATTGATATTTCCAAAAAATTTTTCAAGAATCAATAGGGAAAAAATCATTATTTTATGTCCTTATTCTTACTTTATGGTTTCACTTTAAAAATTTTTTTAGTTTAGTTCTTGAGAGTACCGTCATGTTTTCATTTGTAGGGCTTCTAAAATCTGAATGTAAGATGGACTGCCAATACTTTGCCAACATCTTCATATCTCTGTATATTCCCACCTCAAAGATAAAGAAATGGAGGTCCAGAGAGTTTAAATGATGTATCCAGTGTGACACACTTATGATACGGCCACCTATAGGATTCAAGCTCAATCTGGCTGGCTGTGGACCTTGAACTCTTCCATCTGTCTTGGCTGCTGCCCCAACCCAGGATACAAGACAACATATTGAACCAAAAGGTGGGGAAAAATAGCGCATCCCTTGGGATTTTTGTGGGATTGGAACGGTGAACCCTTCCACTCTATGGCAGAAATCTGTATTTCTGCTCTCCACCCCTTTTCCAGAGCCCAACTTTCAACCCACAAGCATTTCTTTAAAAAATAACAACCACACCTACCCCATGTTCAGCCCAAGCCCAGAGGCTTAGAGAGTGGGCAGGGCCACTCTGTACAGTTATCCAGCCAAGGGCTGTGTGGGACACAGACCCAGTTTTATCCCAGGATCCACCATGTACCCTGGTGCAGGTGTGTGTTGTATGAAAGCTGCATGCTTCTCATTTGCATGAAGGAGTGATAGGAAGGGACCTGGTATTAGGCTAGGAGTTAGCTGTCAGTCCTGTTCCTCTCTGGACTTCTAGAGCAGGGAAAGCTCCTTTCACTGGGAAATAGAAGTAAGGTCTCAGTTAAGGCTCACGAATCCCGTGTCCTAAACTCACTGGCTCTGGGGTCCAGACATCAGTATCTCCATCCCATAGGCTTTGGGTTTCCACTTCCTTAGTTGAGGGCAAATGGAAGAAGTGCTGACCTCCGGCTACCTCATCCTGAGAAGGGGCCCAAGGAGGGTTCTCAGATATTTCATAGTACTGGTATAAAAATAAACCTTGGTGTGCTGGCACATTCCAGAGAGGAAGAAAGCGTATCTGTTTGAGAGAAAACTGACCACACAGCACATGTGAGGGAGGCAGGCTCCCACCACAGCAGAGTGCTGCCCTCCATTAGCTGGGGCCAATGGATAATGACTAGAAACTCAATGTATTCAGCCCAACTTCCTGCCAGCAAGGTGCAGGAAGTTGGGCAGATGCTGTCAATAATCTCTGACTCTCCCTGGACAGTTTCTTTCTTTCTTTTTTTTTTTTAAAAAAAAACTTAGTCTATGTAAGTGAACATGAAGCCATTAGGGGGGCATTGAAAGGCAATGTGATTGTGCCCCTGGGAATAGCCAGAATTGGGCTGAGGCATCTGGCACTTGGAGAGTTCAGCTGATCAGAGAGAGGTTATTAATATCCACCCTGGGTTGAGCACCGTCTGTATACCTATTGCGAAGAACCTGAATGCCTATTAAAGGGTTTGGAATTGATTTGATGAAGGGCAGGGAGCAGCATGGTCCCATGTATATTTCAGAGCACTTGCTCTCTGAGCCTTGTGGGTCGACTCAACAGGGGCCTGAGGGCAGGCAGGGGAGCTGGTTAGCAGGGCCAATAGTCACCTGCAAAATGACAAGGCTTCCACTGGTGGAAGAGGTATAGGAGGAGATGTCTTAGAGAGAGTTCTGTTAGAGCCTGGAGCTCTGATTCTATGCCAGGCTACCTTTTGCAGGGGAATAAGAGCCAGGAACCCAGGACAATTCCCAGGTTTGGGGCTTGATGACTGGGTGTATCAGCCCCTGACTGGCTGACGGCTTAGTAGAAACCAGGAATGCAATCTTCCTTTTTTTTTTTTTTTAATACCTACCCTTACTCTGCACCTTTTGCTTAGTACCAACCACCACTAAATACATGTGATAGTTGATAGGTTCAGAGAGACCCAAGTCTTAGTCCAGGCACAGTGAGGCTTTAGGAACACACGCTCCCTCTTTTTCACACACACAAGTAAACGCGCATGAGAAGCACTTGTGTTTATGAAAAACTATAACAACTTGGATGAAACAATGCCATGGCAGGAAAGAGGGCTTGGCCCAAGCAGATGTAAAGAGAAGACCTTGGATCACTCTGCTGAAGAGAGGAGGGAAAAGAAGCAAGCACAGCAAGTAGGTGTGAAAATGTAAAAACACCAAAGACCCACACTCAGAACCAGCCCACAGCTAGTCTCTGAAAGAGTACTGATCCCTAGACACTAAGACCCAGTCACTATTCCAAGAAGCACATCTACATGTTAGACTGGTTTGTGTTTTCCTTGGCTTTATTTTGTACAGATATAACAGGACAGTCAGAGATGCTAAATAGGTTTTCTTCTCAGCAGTTTCACACAAATGGTCCCAGCAAGTTTCTTTGGTATGGTATGCTATCAAATGAATGCAGCTGAGCAGCTTGCAAATATCCCCACTGAGCACAGAGCATTAGACAATTTTTCTACAACAAGCCTGCCTACTGCTGGCAAGGTTGAGCCTCACAAATTTAAAAGAAGGGCTGGCCTGTTCACTGCTGTGGATATCACTGCCCTCTACTGTCCACAATGAGCTTTTCTGCCCTGAAGACCTTCTGGTTTAGAAGACAGGTGCTGGTGCATTCTGATCCACATAACTTCCACAAGCTGCCAAGCAACTGTACTGAGGAAACACACAGGCGCACCCCTGCACAAAATGGTTTCTGTTTTGTCTCTGCTGCCTGGCTTTCAGAAAATAAAGCAAAACCCCAGATACAACTAGTTTCAGAGGTGGGTAGTTCCTTCACTTCCAGGCCTCACTGCAGGACAGACCCCTGGGGACACCTTCTGGCTCTGCAGAAGCACTTGTCCTTGTCTCCTTTTTGTCCCTGCTGAACTTTACCTGTCATGCTGTCTGTCCCTTCTCATGTTCTTCATGTTATTGAAGTCCAAGCCCTAGCCTTCCAGGGCAGGGCTCCTCCCTGAAGGCAAGAACCACAATGGTGGCACCTTGATCTCGGCTGGTGCAGGTTGTGTCCCTTCAGGAAATTTCTGCTGCATTAGTGGCAATAAAACCATATGACTTTGACAACCGAATCTTGCATAAATGCTGGAAATGAATGAATGATGAAAAATTTTAAAGTATCAAAAACTCAAAAAAAGGGGAGCTTTAGTCTGCTTTTCTGACCCAAATGTAGAAGACTCTGTTGGGTGTCCAGCCAGGGATCCAGCAGGGTGACCTGGATTTGCTGTAGAAGTAAGAGGCTTCAAAGACAGGCAGGACTTGAGTTTGGAAGAAAGGCACAGGCTGTTCAGATGACACCCTAGAAACCTAGGTAACAAAAAGCCTCAAGCCTGGTGTGCACAGGCACCATGTACTTGACTGTGGGAATAACTGGGGCAAGGACATGAGTATAGAAAGGGAGAAAAAGAGTGATAAATGGAAGAAAAGGCAGGCAGGACTGTGAGAGGAGGCAGCTCTAACCAAGAACTAGTCAATTTGGTGACTCTGAATGGGAGAGGTGCTTATCTATGTTCATGGTTTTTTGCACAGGCAGCCTCAGCCTGAAGTGACTGGAGGAAGGCCACAACAGGAGACACGAGTCTGGTATCCCACTGCCCCATATTTGGCTCCATCCAGTCAACAGGCCCACCTGTTACCTCTGGCTTAGCAGCTCCTGAAAGAGAAACCCAGCTTGCCACCCTCCATACCCTATTTATCTGTTGAACAGAAGAAAAGTCATGGAACCCTGAGCCCAGTTGACTCTTACCCCTGCTTCTCAACCTTCCCTGTTTTCATCAAGGCAAGAGCCAAACACAGGCATGGCACTAGAGGATATTTTTATGCTCCTTGAATGAAGAACCCCCCTTTCCATGTTGGAGGAAGGAGGGAAATAAAATATCTTCAATTTGGTTGAGTTCTCCAAGCTTAACTAGATAAACTCTGATACCATTATCTCTTTTTACATACCTGAAGCTATGACTTCTTATATTTGTTCTTGAAAAACTTATAATCAAGAAAGTCTTGACTACAACAGGAAGGTAGAAGAATCAGAGTACTCTATCAAGTAACTCAAGGGAGAAGATGTTAAGAAAGAAGAGCTGGTTAAATAGACCGCTTGGGGAGAAGAAACATGACAATGAGTTATCCTGTGTGGGTCACTAGAGGATGCTGGGCAACTTCAAGAATGTTGAGGCAAAATCCAGGCTGTAAGAGGTTAAGAAGAGATGAATGGTCAGGAGGCAACTCTGTTGGGCGCATTTAGCAAGGGCAGACAGGAGAGAGTGCCTTTGTAGACTGGCAGGACAGGGGTCCTCCATGATTAGGAATTTGTGTGCCTGTTTGAAGGCCTTGGGAATTACCCATCCTCAGGAGGGATGGACAAGACATTTGGGCCAGGGAGAGAAAAAATATGCCAGGAGATAAAGAAAATGAAGGTTTTGGCTCTAGAAGGAAAAGGCAGAAGAAGAGGAGCAAAGGGGCCTGAGATAGACCCACTTATGAGCATGAGGAGGCACAAGTAGGGCCCTGGCCTTCCTCTTGGAAGGAGAGTCAGAACACAGGCAGGGCACTGAAGAGACAAAGAGGAGCTGAGTTCCAGTTTCTTGGAGCTGCCCCTAAATTGTCAATCTGCTTCCAGAGCTGGCAGAGTCCCTGCTGCCATTGCTGACAGCATCAGCAACAGCTGGGGCAGACACTGGTCTGTGCTGTCCCTGTGTGGCAGCCTGCTGGAGCACCTCACACATAGAGTGTCCTACAGAACTTGCACAAAAACTCCTGATGCTAGGGGAGTCTTTTCCCCACAGTGTAGATGAGGCCACTGAGGTTCAGAAAGGGGATGTGACTCATCTATTTGGGAAATGACATTGAAACCCAGGACATCTGCTCTCTGAGGTATCTTGCATGGACTTGTTTATTCGGCTCTGTGCCTTATACCCAGGAGCAGGGCCAAGGCTGAGGGCCACAGAGTGCTGCTGATTGAATGGGAGGCTGCTTTGTGGTCTCCAGATGGGAGCGTCCACATTCAAAGGGTTTGAGGATGCAACAAGAGACAGGGTAAGGCAACACTGAGGGTGCCATGAGGTGAGAATGACTGCAGGAGACTCAGTCCCCAGGGAGGCTGCTGAGAAAAGGCATCACCAGGTAGGTTCCAGGAGGAGGTGGGGCTGGAGAACAGACATGTTTTGAACCTCAGAAAACGAAGGACATAACTGACAACAGGGAGATATGAGGACATTCTCAGCATGCCAGCCTTGTCACACACCCAGTTAGCTGTGGCCCTCCTCATCACCTGGGCATGGCTTCCACATGCATCAGCTGAGTTAGCCTTTGCACAAATGTCGTTACTGCTGTTGGTTCCTTGGCCTGGTACAGATGCTCCTGGGACATACAGTGGGTCATATCCTGATAAATCCATATGTTGAAAATATCATCAGTCAAAACTGCACTTAATAGCTCTGACCTACCAATCATTTTAGATAAATACCATGCACTGTGGAGTGATGGTTGTTCCCTTTTGTGATTGTGGGATGGGCTGGGAGCTGTGGCTGCTGCTGTTCAACATCTTGAGAAGTTCATACTGCATATGGCCAGCTGGGGAAAAGACCCAGCTTCAAAATTTAAAGCATGGTGTACACTGAACATGTATCACTTTCATGCTATCGCAAAGTTAAACTATCATTAGTCAGAAACTATGTCCTTGAGACTAAAACCAGAGAGATGATGCAACCTGCTTATGATCATGCTCACTGTGCTGAGTGCTGAGCAGAGTCTGGCCCACAGTTCTGAGTTCAATATCATTTAGTTCTCACAGTAACTGCCCGAAGGAGGATCATCACAAATCACAGGTAAGGAAGTGAAAGTTAAGAGACAAGTGACTTGCTCAAGATCACACAGCCAGGAAGCAGCAGAGCCAAGTTCACAGCCTAGGTCTGTCTGCCAGCTTATACAGGATACTGGGGAATCCCAAAATCCAGCAGAGACACTAGGGCTTGAGTCTCTGAGAAGGAGTAGGAAGGAATGCTTTGGTGAATGGGCAGTAGTCCCCACCACAGGCCACCTGCTCCATGTCCTAGAGCTGCCAAAGGGCTCAGTCTCACTTCCTTTACCAGCAGGACCAAGAAACCAGGCATATACACCGGGCACAGCAGAGAGCAGAGGGGGAGCACCCAATAGCTCCATTCTGCTGGGTTCTGTGTTCAGAGGCAAAACAATGAGGAATGGAGACCATAGCACCTCGGCCTAAAGGAAAGGGACTGACATGGGCCACTCAGTCCTTTGGGCTCTTACAACTGAGAAGGAGGAACACAGGAGGGATATTTCCCAAGTGATGGGGGATCCATACTCTCAATTCCTTTTGTTTTCTTCTGCAGTACTGTAGATTGACCCCTAGGGTTCAGTACCACTGAGCTATATCCCCAGCTTTTTAAATTTTGAGACAGGGTCTCTCTAAGTTGCCCAGGCTGGCCTCTGGAGTAGCTGGGATTACAGGTCTGCGCCACCTCCCCCAGCTCTCCCCATTCATTTTTTTTTTTGTTTTTTAGCTGTAGACAGACAGCATGCCTTTATTTTATTTGTTTATTTTTAGGTGGTGATAAGGATCGAACCTAGTGCCTCACATATTCTAGGCAAATGCTCTGCCACTGAGCTACAGACTCAGCCCAGGTGTCCCCAATCTTGTTCTTTAGCCCTGGGGGATTTCTAGCTTTAAGTACAGCCTGCAGGGGGAAAAGAATCCAAGTAAAACTTCCAGCTCTGGACCCAAGTGAAGGCACGGGGAGGCCTGCAGAGAGGGAGGCTGAGTACGTACTTGACGTTGGTGTTGGTGCAGATGATGTACTCGATCTCATCAGAATAAGGGTTCTGGAATGTGAAGCTGCTGGTGCGGATCAGCATCCATTCGCGGTTCTTGGTGCGGAATCGATACATGACCGACAGTACTTGGCCTTTCAGCTTAACCACCTGAGAAAACATTTGGAGACGGAAGTCAGCAGGAGGAGGGAGAAGCACCAGGCGGTGGTCACCAGGAAGGTCAGCGGGACCTCAGCGGGACCTCAGAACAGGGGCACTGTAGCCAAAAGACAGCAGGAGAGGAAGAGGAGTGGGGTGAGGGGGAAATGAGGGGGACTGCTAGCTATTGGAACACTCTGTCTACTTTCCCTCTGAAACAGGTCATGCTGTCACCACTGTGTGAGAAAATGTCTGGTGAATGCTCACTTTATATCAGAACTTTTTGCCCCCACCTGGTGCTGAGGATTAAACCCAGAGGTGCTCTACCATGGAGCTACATCCCTGGTCCTTCTTTATTTTTAGACAGGATCTTGCTAAGTTGAGGAGGCTGGACTTGAACTTGTGATACTCCTGCCTCAGGCTTCCAACTAGTTGGGATTGTAAGCATGTGCTACTGTGCCTGGCTATATCAGGATTTTTAATTTACAAATCAGATCATGAGAGCTCTGTAACACTTGAGTTTTTCTTCTTTTCTTGGCTGCGTGGGTACTCTGGGTTTGATGCTATTATCCCTTGCTGTTCATGAAGTTATTTCTTTATACCTCATGTAAAAAATTCCTAACCTCTGTTTAACATTGAAAAATGAATTCCAGAGAGTACTCTTGGAGGAGATGTTAAAAAATGATAAATTTGTAGGCATTATTTTTTTTCTTTTGGTGATGTTGGGGATCAAACCCACAGCCTTGCATATGCTAGCTGGCAAACACTTTACCACTGAGCCGCATTCCAAGTCCTGTATACATTCTTTATTTGCATGTACCTATCACCACTTTTAAGTTGCAGTTAATGTTTTCCAACAGACTTTCAAATGTATTACTTCAGGTATATCCTCACAAGAGTTTAAGGAGGAGGGCTTTACTATTTACAGGTGACAATACTGAGACCCAGAGAAATGAAATAGGTTGCCCAAGATCTGACAACTTTTGGTGAAAAAGCTGGGACAGGAACCAAGATCTTATTTCCAAATCACAAGCTTCTTTTTAGTCATACATCTTGTTCTTTGCTCTGTTTTGACATACACAACCACACAAAGACATGCAGAGACCTGTGTGTGTGTGTGTGTGTGTGTGTGTGTGTGCGTGCGTGCGTGCATGCTGAAGGAAGCCTTCAGGCACAGCTCTCACACCTGAAGCATCAACAGAAGAAAGAGAAATGACAAATGACTAGTAGGTAGAAGAAGCCTGGGTGTGCTTAAACCCTCAGGACAAGATAAGACAAGCAGAAGTTCTCTCCTGTGACTGGCTAGGGCTGGTAAATCTCCAGGCTTCTTGCCTGAAAGATCACAGAGTGATTGATGATAAGAATGGGGACTTGGTCCCAGGGGCCAGGGAATAAATGACTTCCCCTTTCCTAACATACACTTCATTTGTACTCTCCTCCTTTTGAGTGTCTGCCATCCCTACTAGACTGTAAACAGCATGGAGACAGTGGCATCTTGGTTATGCAAGCCTCCCTGACCCCAGCCTGGTGCCTGGCACTGAGGTGGCACTCAAGGCCACTTCCTGGACTGACTCTATGGCTCAACAGGCCTTGGAGGAAGACAGATGAAGCCTGAGGGTGTCAGACAAGGCTCCCTCATAGGAAATCCCAAGTGATAAATAAAATGAACAGAGAGCTTGAGGAGGGTGGGAGGGCTCTCCTGCCATAGTGGGAGAGGAGGCAGAGCTAAGGATGGTGTGAACCTAGCCCACTCAGAGGCTGCTGCTGGCAGTGAGTCTGTGGCCCTAGCAGAAACTTGGCTGTCCCTCACAGGGGCCAGAGGTCAAGGCCATGTGCCCTTCAGGTTTACAGAATCCCAGGGGATTCCTTTGTGCCTGCACTGGACACAGGGGAAAGAGGCAGCCACTGTCCGTGAGTTGATATCCACACCCGCTGCATTCTGGGGACACGTGTGGAGGGTATGTTCCTTCTAATCAGAATGCCTGAGGAAGTGCAGAATACTTAAGCTGCATTTTACAAGCATGCAGAAGGCACATCTGCACCAAGCTGGGCCCCAGGAGCTGTGGAGAAAGGAAGAAAAAGGGAGCCGCCAGCTCTGCACCTCCTGGGGCCAAGTCACAGCTAAGCACCTTATGTGTGCTCTGTCACGTAGTCCTCACAACTGTTTTGTGTACCTGGAAAACAAACCTTGAAGCAGACAGATACACGGCCTGAGGGCTCAAGATGAAGAAGTGGCAGAGAAATGGCTCAGTCCTGAATCTACTGACCTCAATCCTCTTTCCAGGGATCCCAATTGCCAAGGTAGAATCTCTGACCCCAAACAGCAGGCAAAATGGCAGATATCCATCACCCATAGAGTCTGCTACATACCACTGCACAAACCTAAGGTCAAATGGCATGGGGTTGGGCTGGGGTTGTGGCTAAATGGAAAATGCAGACTTAGCATGTGCAAATCTCTGAGTTCAATCCTCAGAACCACATACAAATAAATGAAATACAGATATTATGTTCATCTACAACTAACAATACATTTTTAAAAAATGCCATGGGGATACCAGGCAGGCAAGGAAAGATGGATTGTTGCTGGGATCCAGAAGGGGTTCCTGGTGGGAGATGGGTTTACAAAGGTAGGTAGAGTGTTGGCAAGTGAAGATGCTCCAAGTGCTCTTCTGGCAGGAAGCACAGCATGAGCTGGACTACGTCTATAAGGCAGTTCAGGTGATATGGTCCAGGTCTTTGACCAGAGAGACACAACTAACCGTGCTTAATTTAGATGTGATGCTAATAATATAGGTGATTGCAAAGACCAAGCACGAAACCCAGCTTAGCATAGGTCTTCATGACCCAGCTCTGCTGTCATCATCACCATCACTATAGTGATGGAAGATGTCTCAGCAGAAAGTAGAAGGAAGGGAATGCGAGAGCCTGCCTTAAGTTTCAATGTGCTCAGCTCCTACAACTGACTCCTCAGTAAACTACCTAGAGAAGGAATCTAAGGGCACACAAAACTTTCCTGGCCCTGGACTGATGCACTATTCCCACACCAAACTCAAATTCCTTACAAACCTGATCATGTTCTAAGGGACTCTGGTTTGAGTGACTAAATACTTTTGTTTAAATCCAGAATGTAAGGCTGAGTCTTAGCTGACAGCCCCTTCTCTGCTTTTGCAAGAATAAGCCACATTTGTCCCTTGCCTTGGCTGCCAGTGGCTGGAGCCAAAAGAACACCTAGGGCCAAGGTGGGGTATGCTCCAGGATGTCCTTGTGCTGCTCAGCTGCTGCCCACTAAGCCCTGGGACCAGGCTTGGGGCTGCCAGCACCTGGGTGGTGCTTCCCTGGCCTCCCCTCCCATCTGATGAATGAGGAGCCAGGTGTGGAGTGTGGTATTGTCAGTGAATGCTTTGGAGGGAGATGGACCTGGACCTGATTTCCAGCCTGGGTCTGTTACTGCCTTACTGTGTGACCTGGAGCAGGCAACCAAATTTCTCTGAGTCCTGGTATCTACTGGGAAAAAGCAGGAATGACAACACATACTGTGTAAGGTTGATGATTATATAAGACAATGGATGAAGGAGGGTCTGGCTTATTCCTGGGCACAGAGCAGAGGCTCCATTACTGTTAGTGATGAAACCATTTCCATACACCAAAGAGAATGAAGCCAACCCAACTCACACCTGATGATACTAGGTGATGCAGCTTATCATCACAACACATACTGAGCAAACATACGGCATAAAAAGACACACACTCCCAATGTTTAATCATTCTAATTTCACATTTTTCTAAAACAAAAGCTACCTGCTCTGGTTCTGATCCACTTAGGCTGTTTTAAGCTACCCTCTACTGAACTCTACACTTAGTGAGGGAGATAATGATGAAAAGCACAAATATGGAGTCTGTCCACAGGGAAGTTAGGTTTTAATAAAGAAGAGGGAAAAAGATCAGGCATGTTGGTGCATGCCTATAACTCTAGCAACATGGGAAGCTGAGGCAGGAGGATCTCAAGTTGGAGCCAGCCCCAGCAACTTAATGAGACCCTGTCTCAAAGTGAAAAAAAAAAAAAAAAGGTTGGAAAGGTAGCTTACTAGTAAAGTGCCCCTAGTTTCAATCTGTAGTACTAAAAAATAAATAAAATAAAATAAAACAAAAATGGCTGAGGATGCAGCTCATAGTTAAAGTACCCCTGAGTTCGATCCCCAGTACTGCAAAACAACAACCAACCAACTAACTCCCAAACCAACCAATGGACAAATAAATAAAACTGGACATCCAGGATGTCCTTGTGCTGCTCAGCTGCTGCCCACATATAAGACAATGTGAACTAGACAAGGGGCTGAGCTGGCTGGGGCCTCTTTCGTAGCTACAGTAGTTTACTTATCATGTCTCTGAGATAAACTAAAACCTAAAGGATAAAATGTCAGTCATGTAAAAAGTGAGAGAAAAGCATTCCCATCAGGGTATGGACATGAGCAAAGACCTTATGGTGGGAAAGAAACCATGTTCAAGGAACTAGCCAGTGTGACTGAAGAGCAGTTTCTAAGGAAAGGACAAGGCTCATGCAGAAACTTGTGAAACTGTGGCAAGAAACTTGGATTTGATTCTAGATAACCTGAAAAACTATTGGCAGATTTTAAATAAAATGTGACAAACCTAGCTTATGTTTTCATAATGGCTTGAAGTGAAACAAGAGTAAAGGTAGAGAGACCATGGAGGGAATTATTGCAGTAGTCAAAATGGGAGATGGGGATGGCCTCGTTGAGGGGAGTGGGAGCAAAGGAGGCATGGACTGTAGGTGTCTTTTGGAGGAGTCCCAGAGGACCTGCTGAGGGGCTGGGTGTACAGAGAGAGAAAGGGAAGAGTGAGGGGCTTGATTTCTGGCCTGAGCAGCCAGGTGAGCATGCTGGGAGGGAGGATGAAGGCTGAGAGAAGAGCTCTGTCTCTGAAGGTTACTGGACATTTGGGTGGATGTGGAACAGCTACCTGGATAGAAGCAGATGTGGAGCCAGAAGGACAGGCTGGGTTGGAGTTTTCTTTTTTGGAACTAGGAATGTGGACGTGGGGGCCCTTGACCACTGAACTATATCCCCAGCCCTTTTAATTTTTCATTTTGAGGCAGGGTCTCACTAAGTTTCGAGGTTGGATTCCGTGATCCTCCCGCCTCAGCCTTCTGAGTTGCTGGGGTTACAGGCATGTGTCACTGTACCTGGCTGGGCTGGAGTTTTCTACTAGATATCACCTAGGGAGATAGCACAGAATGAAAAGAAGAGAAGGCAGCAAGAACGGGGTCCTTGCCATCATGGCTTGAAGAAGAATGTACTGGAGGGGGAGCCCACAAAGGAGGCTGAGAAGTGGAAAGAAAACCAGGAGTGGGTGATATTCCAGAAGGAATGAGCAGAGTGTGGAGTAGGAGCTTTGCCCACACATGGGACATAAATCTTTGTGCAGACATGGCAGTGCCTTCAATGGGCTTGGCTGCCAGAGAGGCTCCATCTAAAACACTTGCAAAGAAGAATGTCAAGTGTGTACGCCTTCAGATGAATGACAGGCTATTATTACTCTCTCTTGAAAAGAAACTCAAAGGCTTCTTTCTTGTAATGTTGTCTGCTTTCTTGTAATGTTCTCTTCTTTCCCAGGGCTGAGAGGGGGACTTTAGTGCTCTGCAGAGAGAGAGAGTGTATCCTCTGTCACCACAGCTGAGCCAGCTCAGCAGGTGACAGATCCTTACTTTGAGTCAGTTTTCTTTCATTGACTGTGTGATACTTGGCACTTTTCAGCACTGGGCCCTACTAAAATCACCTGGAACAGCAAGATGTCAGCTCCTACCTTTTACAACTCCCGTGAAGATTCCATAAGATAGCATATGTGCCCAGTGCATGGTAGGCATTCAGGAAACAGTAGCTAACAGTAGTGATGCACATGATACTGCTATTAGGGTGGCTTCCCTGTCAGGCTCCCAGTAATCCTAAGTCCCTCCCTCTCCTTCACCATCTCCAGCTGAAGTATCACTACCAATGAAACTGTCTCAAGTTTGTTTCCCATGGTTCCTGCCCAACTTTTGGCCTCATTAACTCTTGCCCAGGCAATTAATTTTTTCCCCTATTTTATTGATGCATTATAAGTATTTACAATAGTGGAATTCATTATGCCATATCATACATGACATAACATTTGATAATTTGATCAGTCTTGTTCCCCAGTCCTTTCCCTTTCCCTCCTTGCCTTCCTCTCCCTGATCTGTTTTCTCTACAGAAATCCCTTCTACTATTATTTTTTTTGTTAGTGTGGACTCATTGTTACCACAGGAATTTACAAAGCTCCTGAGTTATCTTTGTTTCCAGTTATTTTCCACATCTGCATACCTGGATCACCAAAGTGTTTTTTTCAAAACATTGCTCTGCTTAAAATCCTCAAAGGAATCCTCACTTACCCTTAGGTGACTGAGGAGATAATCTAAATGCCTTAGCATGGCATGCATAAGAGGCCCTAAAAATTTAGCTGTGCCAGGCTCCTTCTCAATCACTTCCCACCACATCATCCCTCCTAGTCATCCAGCTGCAGAACTGCTGAGGATCCTCCTGCTAGGCCACATTCTTCTGCATCTCTGGTACTACCCTGCCCCCAGAACCCCCAGTTCAGGGAGTTCTCTCATTTCTCCCATGCTCACCCTTGAAGACTCATTCCAATTGTCCCCTTCTTTGGGATACTCTTCCTGCCTCTTGCCCACACAGCTGACCTCAGCATCTTGTGCTGTATGGCATTTTCTCCATGTCACTTTAGAGTTCTTCTCCCATCACCCTCTAGTGACCTCCTCATGTTTCTGTCTTCTCTGCTGGATAGTGAGCTGCTTCCCAGCAGGCCCCTGACTGATGCTTTGGTTAGGAAATTGCTGCCTGCCAAGCACATAGCAGGACTAGTCTCCTACCAGTCATACCCACATGCACCTAGGTTACCCAGGATCAGCTGGGAACAAGAATGGGCAGCACCTGCTGGAAGCTCTCACGCAGATGGCTCTGATCCTCAGGGTGGCAGAACTCCAAAATGTCCTTTCCCAGAAGATCCTAAATGAAAGAGAAAAGCTTTAACAGCCCCAAATTCCATTTTTAATTATTTATAACTATTAGTCAAGAGTGTTCATTTATGTCTTCTTTAACTCATCTCTTCAGCCTGCACCACCACAGACTGAAAAAAAGAAAAGCGGATGCCAATTTTTCCTGGAGCCATAGAGGGTCTGGCTTCCTTGTATTCATTCTAAATTCCTTTGGCACACTCCATACCAATTTCTAATTTTGCTAAGTCACTAGATCAGCAGCTTCAGAATGCAATTTTATTTTTGTTTGCTTTGGAGATGCAAGCTATAATCAACATATTTTAATAAACATTGAAAGAAAGCAAAAGGCTAGCAGACGGACGGATGTGTTGCCTAAGAAAACTGAAACTGTTTAAATGTGGAAACTGTAGTTGCCTTGTGGCTGAAGAAATGAGGTTATCATAAAATAACTGTGGTTGTTAAAAGTCTGTTTACTGTCCACCTTCTCTATGGTCTATGGTTTGCTCAAAGGACCCAGCTTTAACCCAAAACAAAAGTACATTTCACAACGACACAGAGCAGAATAAGATAAACCATCAAAGGCCAACTTCAAATGTGTTCTGGAAAGTGGTCCAGTTGGAAGCATCTTAAATAGCAAAGGATGTAAACTAACTCATTGATCGGAACCCACATGGGCACACACTGCCAGGAGTGAGCTGACACCAACAACGCAGCAAGTTTTATCTTTGTGCTCAGGAACAAACAGATGCTCACAGGAGGTGCTGGAGGATTAATGGATCTGGATAGAAATGTGCTGCCATCAGTGCATTTGCAAACAGATCACGTTTCCTTTTTATTCCATCCAAGAGTCTCCAGGTTTGTATAAACCTAGACATGTAGAATTATGCAAAGGTTCTAATATTTCTGATGGGAACTCCTTCTAGTTCTAAGATACATATGTAGGGCTAAGAAAGTAGCTTAGTAGAAGAACACTTGCCTAGCATGCGTGAAGCCCTGGGTTAATTCCCAGCACCTCCAAAAGATCAATAAAATATCCATGTCATTAATATTCTATCAATATTTCCAAAGTATTTTCCTCAGAACAGCATCTTTTTCTTTTGTTTTTAATTTTTTTTTCTGTTTTGAAAGAAATTAAAATCTACAGAAAAGTTAAAAGGATAGTAAAACACTTACGTATCTTTTATACAGATTTGAGAACTGCCCATATCTTGCCACTCTTGCATTTATTTTTCTTCACATATGTATCTATATGTATATGTGCATATGTATCCATATACACATAGCTTATAATTTCTTCCTGAACCACTTGATGGGAAGTTGTAGAAATCATGCATGACACTTCTCCCCAAAGTATTTTTAAATATATAATACACACACACATATACATATATATATTTTTAGTTGTAGATGGATATAATTCCTTTGTTTTGTTTATTTATGTTTATGTGGTGTTGAGGATTGAACCCAATGCCTCATACATGCGAGGCAAGCGCTCTACCACTTAGTTACAACCCCAGCCCCTCCCGAAAGTATTTTTAGCATGTCTCATAGAAATTACATCCAAAAAAAAAAAAAAAAAAAATCACATCCAAAACCACAAGGCGCCATACTATTAACTTAAAACCAATAATTGTTCAATAAGATCACTCAATAATCTGTATGTGTTAATATTTACATTGTCTCCCATGTATCTCTTCTAGCTAGATGTCTTCAGGCCCAGGACACAGTTCAGGCTTTCACATTGTATTTAGCCATTTTATTTCTCTGGTCTTGACCTGGGACAACCACTCTTGCCTTGTGTTTCTCATGCCACTGGCTGAACCACATCCCCTGTCCTTTTTATTATTTTGAGACAGGATCTCACTAAGTTGCTTAGAACTTTACTAAGTTGCTGAGGCTGGCCTTGAGCTTGAGATCCTCCTGTCTTGGCCCCTGAGTTGCTGGCACTATATCTGTGTGCCATTGTACCAGGTTGCCATTGACTTTTACACAAAGAATCTGGAACAAAGACCTGAAAGTGTGGCCCATGCAAAATAGGCTTCTGAGAGGAATTAGGAAAAATGAGGTAGGCATCTTTACAAGATTCTCTCATGCTAATAAATTTTGTAAAGTTATCTTAACTCTAGTTTGTGAAAAACCAGCTTGAGAATCAGAAACTGCACAAGCTAGGGAAAAGTTTACGATGGACTTTTTCTTTTGTGTGGTGTTGGGATTAAATTCAGGGCCTTGTATATGCTAAGCAAGCACACTACTGCTGAGTGAATTTTCTTGTTTGGAAGGATATCACCTAATCTGGGCAAGGCACCTAGATTTATTGGTGTTTCTCTGCAATATCATTATGCTGTATCTCAAACAAATGGGACAAATATGTGTTAAGGAAAGTTAAATCTCTAGCCAACTGCCCAATGAGCTCGAAACTATCTATTTACCTGGGGTTGGTAGCCAATCACACTGATGCATCTTGGATCCACAAATGTGATGATTCCATCAGAGTTATGGCGAGATAAGAACTCTGTGGGCACTGACATCCCATTCATGTCCATGCACACGGGAGAGCTGGTCACCTGCAATGGGAAAATCCACAGCTTAGGTGCTACTGATGGAGATGGTGATAGAGAATGGGAATCTAACATCACACATTCTTTCATGTGACTGGTGCAATGAATGTAAAGTGTTCAGAGAGGCCAGGTTATGCCTTTAACTAAACAGTAACTAACAATGGGCCTCTTTCTTTACATTTCTGAGTTTATGTTTCCTGATTAGCCAATGGGAATAATGAAACCCATAACCTCATAGGTTGAGACACTGCAGGTTAAGCCTTGGCACAAAGTTGTTGCTAAATAAACATTAATACACCTTCCTTCTCCTGTCTTCCCTTCACTGAAAATGGCAAATGAGCCTAAGTAACTGGTTAAAATATTTGGAAAGTGTATGTTTGTGGACTGAATTTGCCCAAATATTCTTTCTTTACTAATCAATTAGGATTGCCCATGGTCTGTCACATTGTATGAAACTGCTTATTTATTTGTCTGAAAACACTCAGACCTAGGAAACCAGGGACACGAAGGGTTACTTTGCCCATGTCTATCATGTGTCCTCTCAATAGGATAGGAAGACCCTAATTATCACAAAGATATGAACAATCCAGTTGACTGAGTAGTTTACTCTGTGTCAGGCACTGAGCACATCTGACTCTCACAAGATAAAAAGGCATTCCCTGCCCCAGAGGATCTCACAGGGGACGATCTCATGTTCAGCTAACCATCACACACTTGGTTAACAAAGCCATCCTGCACTCAGCTAACAGTAGCACAAGGGACAGCAAAGAGATGATGGCTAACGTGGGAACCCAGTGCTAGAGAGAAGGAGGAGGGAATGATTAATTTTGACTATGGAGATGGGGAATCATTTTAGTTGGGTTTTGGAGGATAAATTGATAGGAAGTACCCAGGAAGAAAGAGATTTTTGAAAGAAAAAAGGGAACAAGGAAATCCCAGGCAGAAGAAACAGGCTGTGAATACCAATAGAGGTGGGAAATCACATGATGGGTTCACAGAGAAGGGGAATAGGATGTGGTGAGAGAGGACAAAGGGAAGGAGATGAGGTTGGAATAAGGAGTTTGGACTTCATCACTTGGCTCCGGGAAAAACACTGAAATGGTTAATCAGGGATGTGCTGTAGGCAGATCTAGACTCTGTTAGGGGAATGGGATGATATAACCCTCACCCAACAAGACCTCTGCTGTTTACAGTTCATAGTCCCTTTCTTTCCCCCGAGATTTGGCCTTGTTCTTGTCCCAGAGTGAGACACAAAAGTCAACAAACACTGGGTACAGAGGAGAACAGGTATCCAAGCTCACAATTTCTTGTTCTTTGCACTAAGCTCTCCTTTGAGATGAAAACAGCTCTGATTATTTTCTTACCTGGAGTCTCCCAATTGCCACAAGGCAGTATTTACTGCCTTGTCCCACATCAGCATCTTCTTCAGGTATTGTCATTCCTGAAACGAGAAATGCCAGCATCCTCAACATGCCCAGGGGAAATGGAAAAGGGGGATTTCACCTATGCAATCAAAAGTAAAGATCTGCTGCTGGCCACTCAGGGTTGGGAAACTACCTAATGAACTAATAGTCCCTTGCTCGTTTCCTGCTCATCTCTCTGCCAGATATCTTTTGATAATTTCATGGTCCATTATCATCTCCATCTGTGGATGATGCAGAAAATATTAAGGAAGATGAAATGCAGATTGTTCATCTAAATATATTTGCACAATTTGGCTAAAACATTTACTTAAGGAATTTTAAGATGCTTAAATGGGTCTTCCAGGTCATGTAAATATTTCAACCCTCTGTTGACAAAGAATTAAAGAAAAACCAAAAACAAATAAAAATTACTGAAGGTGAAGTTTCTAAAGGCAAAAGAATACAGCCAGTGTTTCCCTTAAGGTCTAGGAAGAAAAATTAGTGATGTTTATGCTGATTAAGCACAGAAAACCAGTGTTAAGGGGAGAAGCTGGTTAAAACAATCTTCATTATTCACTCTTCAGAAAAGGATCCTCTGTTTGGTCCAGGAAGGGTCTGGTCTCCAAGGCCCCTTGTAATACAAGGTTCTTGAACATCTGCAGCTGATTAGAACCACTGGAGAGAAAAAGCATTCCATTTTCATACCTCCTGGGCAAGTGGTGTTAAATAGAAAAGTTCCTTTAATACTGCCTAACACTTAGCATTAAATATTTCCACACTAGATCAGACCTGAGGCTCATGGTGTAATAGTGACACAAGTACAGTAGCAGTTCACCATGCAACTTTGAAGGGAATGTTAAATATCACTGTGGTTCTGAGAGCCAGAGAAATGTGACTCTCTGCCTCCTTCCACTGCATACCCCCCTCTTCTTTCCATCCCCCAGAGCAGGCCACTGATCTCTTTAGTTTCTGGTTTATTCTGGCTGTATTTCTTTTGTACAAATGAGCACAGTGATGTCTACTTTCTCATATCTCCTTCCTTCTTCTATGAAGAAGCGTGTACAATACATATTCTTTTGGGCTTTGATTTTTGAATTTAACAGTATGTCCTGGAATTCCTCCACACTTATTCATAGAGCTGGCTCTTCCTCAATTCTTTTTCAGAACTTCCCAGTGGTTGGTTGTGTGTTGATATGCCATGTTTATTCAATCACATTCTTCTATGTATGAAGATTCAGGTGTTCCCAATATTTTGTGATTAGAAACAATGCCACAATGGATAACCTTGTGCATACATTTTTTTTTTTTTTGATCACTGGAGTTGTGTCTTCAGGGTGGATCCCTAGAAGTGGGATTACTGGGTCAAAAATGAATACAGATGTAGTTTTGTTTTGCCAAATTTCCCTCTAGAAGGGTAGCATTAATTTGCATTCCCACCAGCAAGGCACGACAGGGCTGTTTCTCTGTAATTCTGACCAACAGAATGAGCTGTCACATTATTTAATTTTTGTCTCTGTGACAGATGAGAAATAATGACACCTTAATGTTGTCTTAATTTGCATTTCTCGAATTATAGGTGCATTTGAACATTATTTTTTGTTTGAGGACCACTTTTATATCTTGCTTTATATTGAACTATGTGCTTGTGTTTCCCATTTTTCTATTGGGATTTTGGTCATCGATCAATTTCTTAAAGTGTTTTTATCAGAACATTACAGTTACATAATAGTGGGGCTCATTTTGACATAATCATACATGAATGGCGTATAATTTTCTGCACCCAGTGCTGCTTCTTTTCTTCCCCTCTAACCTCCCCCTATTCCCTTTTTTTCTACTTTACTGATATTCCTTTTATTTGTATTTAAAATGGATGTTTTACAGGTATTTATAAAGGCAGAATTCATTTGTATATTCATATATTTACATAGCATAATTTGGTCTATCAATTTTTGAGAGTTCTATCTATATTAGGGTTATTAGGCCTTTATGGTGTTGTGAATATGTTCGTTTAGGTACGTCTCTGTCTTTTGACTTTTAGGATGAGCTAAGCTTTTAAGATTTTTATGTAGTCAGATTTACCAAGCTTTTTTTTTTTTTTTTAATGTCTGGAGTCTGAGCCACAGTTAGCCATTTCCCACTCAGAGATTACAGAGAAACTCACCTTTGTTTTTCCCCTGACACTTTCACGGTTTCATTTTTTGCACTTAGATCCTTAATTCAGTTGGAGTTATTCTTGTATAGGATGTGAGATATGAATCTCATTTTAATTTTTTCTAATTGGGCTCTTCAGTTGATCTGCTGATATTTGTTTAAAATGTAGTGATCTGAAGTGCCACCTTTACCACCTAATGAATTTCCTTTTGTTTGTTCATTTTGGACCTTCCCTGCTGTTCTGTTGATCATTTAGCTCCCCCAGCCCAGTGCCACACCATGTTAATTAAAGCCTTTCCTCTATGATTTAATGTCTGATGGCATTTCCTTAGTAATTCTTTTTGAGTGTTTTATTGGCTTTTTTTTTTGGGGGGGGGGGTTGTGCCAGGGATTAAACTCAGGGGCACTCAAACACTGAGCCACATCCAAAGCACATTTTTGTGTTTTATTTATAGATAGGGTCTCACTGAGTTGCTTAGCACCTCGCTGCTGCTGAAGCTGGCTTTGAACACACCATCCTCCTGCTTCAGCCTCTGGAGCTACTGGGATTACAGGTGTGTGCCACCAAGCCTGGCTTGGCTATTCTTGAAGCCAAGAATACTATTATCAGTGTCAACTTATCTAACTCCATAAAACAGCTTGATGGTATTTTTATTAGGTTTGTATTAAAATTGTAAATTAACTTCAGGAGAATTGACATCTTTATAATGTTGTTGACCTAATGGGGCACAGAGAATGTTTTTCTCATTTGTTAAAACCTACTTTTGTGTCTTTCAGGAGCATTTAAAATTTTTTTCTCATATAAACTTATACTTTTACATTTATTAAAATTCTTCCTAAGTATCTGAATCTTCATTGTTGGTATTATAAATGGGGTTTTCTCCAGTATTATATCATCTATTTATTCACACATATGCAGATTATTGATTTCTTTATATTAACACATTGTGCCACACCACTTAATTATTTTATTGCTTCAGTTAGCTTTATCATTGATTTACTGGGCTTTTGCAGCTATATTCTCTGATAATCTGAAAAGAAAGGACAGTTTTCTTTCTTTTTTACATATTCATTTGCCTCTAAGCTTCCTTATTTAATTGTGTGACTAACACTGCTGTTACAGTGTGGTGCAATTGTAGAGGTAGCAAGTATTTCTGCCTTGCTTCTGGTCTTAGCAGAAATGACTTCAGTGTTTCTCTATTAAATAAATACTGTCTATGGACTCAGATAACTCTTACTCAGTTAAGAAATTATCTCTCAATTATTGATTAACATTTTTACAAATCTCTTTAATGCCTCTCTTAACAGTAGACAAAAGGATTTTAAAATCTGCCCTCAATGTGTTAGAAAAGGCTGCTTTATTTGAAGTACGTGAAGAAAATAACAGCCTCACAGATCAGTAGTTGGAAAAGGGAGACACTTTTTCAGAATATTGTGGATATTCTTCTTTGATGTTTTCCTAAATCTTGGCAGATCTTAATTGCAAAAGGGGACAAAGCAACATAAATTCCAAAACTATATTAATTAATTTTTCATACAGTTTTATAAAATAGACTGGCTTAACTCATGGATCTTCCCCCACATGATTGTATACACCATGTACTGGTCATTTAGAAAATATTGATTTATTACATTATACAACATAAAAAAAATCCCACTTGTTCATATCACCATCGATCTCCTCAGAAACATCTCTAGATGTTGATCAAGATAAGACTGGTGAACATGTTTTTAAAATTTGAATTTTCGTTATAAAAACTTGCATTCTACCATACTGTCAATTGTTTCCTCTGAACTGATAGGCTCATTTTATTTGTTCTTTTTTTTTTTTAGGAGATAAATGCCAAATACACAAGTTTGATTGCTGATATTCTGTCATTGTTTCAAGTAAAAATTGTTGTTTCATGGAAAAGGCAGCTGGCTCAGTTCATAGCCAAACAACTGCATATGTGCTGCTTCACACCTTGGTCATGATCTGGCATGCAGAAAAGTTGCTTATGCATACTTTCCATTACAGAATTTAATATAATTCATAATTCTTACTGTTTCATCAAGGGCATTCTAAAGTGAAACCAGTTCTCATTGCTCACTTAATCTCTATTTTCCACATTTGATTACTTTTCTTTATTCTTTTTTCTTCCCTCTTTCCCCATAATTCTCCTTCCTTCTGTACTAGTTTTCTAGTTGTAACAAAGTACCACAGATAGTTGGCTTAAACAACATAAATGTATTGTCTCACAGTTCTGGATGCCAGAAGTCTGAGGCCAAAGTATCAACATGGTTTGTTCCTTCTGTGGGCACTGAGGGAGCATCTGCTCCATACCCCTCACCAGACAGTGATTTCCTGGTAATTTTTGGTGTTCTTTGGCTTGTCACTGCATCTCACTGTCTCTGCCTTCACCTTCAAAAGGTGTTCTCCCTTTGTGTCAAGTCTGTGTCCAAATTTCCTTTCATAAGAACATCGGTCATGTGAGCATTTTCCAATATGACCAATTATAGATGCAAATATCCTATTTCCAAATAACGTCACACTTTGAAGTCCCAGGGGTTGGGAATTTTTGGAGGGACACAATTCAATTCCTAAGAGCTTCTGTGAATATTTTTTGTTTAGTGCTTTTCCTCTACCATGTCAGGTGTGATTCAAAAAGGACATGAACTCACAGCATCCTTCTGGAACCCATGACAGACAATGCCATGGATCATGAATATTTTCCAAATAGTTACAGAAGCAAATCCAAATCAGTTAATCAAAATGAATCATAAACTAAAGTCCATTTGCCATTTTAAAAACTTAAGTGTTTTAATATAAGGTTATACAAATTCTTATGATTAGATAACAATTTTAAATAGTGATATTGGTAAATCTGGGGACCTTTTGGGGAGGCAT